TAGATGCGCCAAACGTGCAGATGGAGCTTCATCGGAGACCAATGTAGCTGGTCGGAGTGCAGATGTACCAGTAGATTGGGCCGAACAGGAAGTGGCATGGGATCTGGTTCGGCTAGGTCTTGAAGGTTTACGAACCAGCTTCTGGCCGGCCAATGGGGCGCGACCAAAAGCAGAGTCATCCTCTGAGTTGCGCGCAGCTTAATAAAAAAACGCGAGGAAGAAGGGCCACTGGTGGAAACGCATAAGCGTTCAGGTTCTCCCACGGAATGGCTAGAGCATCGAGGTCCAAAGCCAGAGGATCCGGAATCACTGACACAAATGGTTGAATCGATTGGCGAAGAGATCCACTGTCGGAGTCGTCAACGGGAGGCAAAAGGTCTGGAACACCTGAGGATGTAATTTCCATTCCGTTGGAGAGGGACGACTCGGTCGGGACAGAGAATCTGCGATGACATTCTTCACCCCCGGAATGTGGTTGGCTCATACCAAGATGTGGAGAGAGTCCACCAGATCGAAGAACCGTTGGGTCCACTGCAGCAGTTGAGTAGACCCCGTGGACCCCATCCTGTTGATATGCCAAACCACCGCTGCGTTATCCGACCGGATCATGAGGGAAGTTGCTCGTAGGACATCCTGCCAGTGACTGATTGCAAGCATCACCGCCCTGAACTCCAGAACGTTTATGTGACAGGCGCGATCGATGGGAGACCACCGCCCTGCCACTTGTTGATTGAGAAGATGAGCTCCCCACCCGTGTAGAGACGCGTCCACATACAGGTGGTGAGACGGAACAAAAGGCCCTAAACAAACTCCGTCGCAAACATTCAATTCTTCCATCCACCACAGGAGATGGGGATGGAGCTGCAGAGGTAGAGTGATCAAGGCAACGGGATCTCCCACTCTGATGTAAGGCGCTAGAAGAACTGCAAGGGACGAAGTTGTAGTTGACCCCTGAGGGTCAACGCCTGAGCCGGGTTGTGCCAGTGCCAGAGAAACCAATCGCTGAATCTTGCAGAAACGATCCCTCGGGACAAAGAGTTTGTTGGCCTCTGTGTCGAACACTGCTCCAATGAATTGGAGACGGCGTATAGGGGCTAGTTCCGGTTTCTGCAGATTGATTAACCAGCCTAATTGGCGAAGAAGCTGTATCGCAAACTGCATGTGACGAAGCAGAAGGGCATGATCAGTCTGCGCCTGAATGCAGTCGTCGATGTAAACCTCGAACACTATTCCCTTGCAGTGAAGGAATCTGGTGATAGGCTTCGTTACCCGTGTAAACAGCCACGGGGCCGAAGAAATTCCAAATGGGAGGACATGCCACTGATAGTGGGTGCCCTCGAAGACAAACCGAAGGAACTTGCGAAGAGCCAGAAAAATCGGGATGTGAAGGTACTCATCCTGGAGATCGAGACTGACCATGTAGTCTCCCGGCTTGATGATTGTTGAGAAGAGCCACCGACACCATACGAAAGTGAGTCGGAGGTTGTAGAAACATTGTATGGAAAACCTTCATATTGAAAATTAGTCTCAACTTTTCCGAATCTTTCTTTGGCACCAGAAAGATTGGCAAATAGAACCCCGGGTCGGTCGGAGCCAGGCCCAGGGCTCAATCGCAAGCTTCTGAAGGAGAGTGTCGATTGTGGAGCGTAGAACAGCCGTCTGAGATAGGATACGTTCGAGTAGCCAAGCTACCATGACAGCACTGAAGAAGTGCTGAATGTAGGAGGTTCGTGGCATGGAGATGTCGGGAACGTACACATTGTACACAGTGATGAAGGCCATATAAACAGTGATTGTAGGAACGTATAGTTTGCCAAATGAAGTGTTGGTCCGCCAGATGGAGTGAGAAAGTTAGTAGATACGTTGCATGGGATCGTCAGTCTACCGGAACATTGGTAAAGTTGATGGAATGGCAGAGGTAAAAAAGACCAATGACTCCAGACACGTTCGATAAAGAGGCGAAGGTAGTAACATCGATGCCTACGGACAGTCCAGACATAGCTGCAGTGACCTCTGAACTGGGGCCTTCAGCTAAACAAACGAGTAAACCCAGCCAAAGTGAAAGCGTCTCGGCGATTCCGTCTGGCACCCTCGGTAAACTGTATCTCCTGCCTGACTGACAAACTCGACATAATCACTCCTACCGGGAATGGCACCGTTCATCATCACTGGCAGTTAAAGGCTGGGATAGGTATCCGTTTCGTGGGACCAAGACAAGTCTGTCAGGTACTTCCTAATCGATGTATCATCAAAAGTCTCCGGTTAACAAACAGAAGTCCGCCATTGCAAATGCTACCGACAATGCAATAACGACAAAAACCTGGACAACACAGATGTCAATCAACCAGGCGAGTCCCAACCCATAAAATCTGGGTAAAGGGACGCTAGCTACTTGACCAAACATCACTGCTGGTACCACACGCAGAAACTGTGCATAAATAGACCAGCTTGATATGCAGGAATATTGTACGACACTTCACTGAGTCTTGTTACTATATACAGACTACTCGTAGCAGCTGTGTGGTGTATCACTGGGTGTAATCGTGGTCTGTTTCGCAAGCCTCAGCACCCTTCCTTTCACATCATCGTCAAGTTTCTGGACAAATATGTCAAACCGGACGGTTGTAGAGCTGATATCTACGTCGAAGGGTAGATAGATTCGGTGAATCGAATCATTCATGAAAGGTGAAGATCGGATGGTAGATGACGGAGGAATCTTAAAAAATCCGAGATCATCAATCACCGCCGTAGTGTAGAGGCCTGTGCTACTGACATAACTACTACCTCTGTGCAACCAACCGAAACGATGCACTAACTGGAAGCGCCATACTGGATGAAAACGTTGATACAGAAGAGTGCGGCGCACTGGAGTAAAGCGGCAATCTGGATGGAAACGTTGATCCATAAGAAAGTGTTGCACTGGATGGAAGCGTTGATACATAGGAGTGAGTGACTTTGGTTTTACGCCGCTTTTAGCAACATCACAGCAACACCATGGCGGGGGACACCAGAAATGGGCTTCACACACTGCACCTTTACGGGGATTCAAACCCGGGTCTTCGGCGTGACGAGCCAACGCCTCAACCACTAGGCTACCCCACCGCCTCTTGATACATAAGAGAGAGGCGCACTGGAGTGAAGCGGCGCTCTGGATGGAAGCGTTGATACCTAAGAAAGTGTCGCACTGGATGGAAGCGTTGATACCTAAGAAAGTGTCGCTCTGGATGGAAGCGCTGATACATAAGAGAGCGGCGTACTGGTGTGAACGCTCTGTCTGTTCACAAACACCGTAGAAGCAGGAAGCGTAACCCCGAAGCCAAGCTGAGCACCAGTAAAAACTGTAGAAATAAGGTATCAACGCCGAATTTGGAAAAAGTGTTGAAGTAGAAATACAGTAGACAAAGTACCGTAGTGTGCAAACTAGTAAACAAACCATGATGACAGTATACGCATAGAGGGAACCAGATGATTCGGCGAAAGCTGACAGTCCAGCGAACACTGTCGGATCGGCGAATACTGTTAGCGGCGATCTGGTATGGTGCAGGGATCAGGATCGATTAGGTGATCTGGTTCGGTACTGTGATCCAGTTGTGTCAAGTGATCAGGTTCTAAAGCGCTGAGTCAATCAGGACCGGTGCATTCGTCTTAAACGTCATACCATACAGTAATGGTGTACTGGACTGAAAGGTGTTCCAATCAAACAACAGTTCACTAAGTTGAATCGTTGTTCTAATCGAAAACGGAGCACTGTTCTGAAGCGTTGATCTAATCGAAAAGGCACACTGGGCTGAAGTGTTGATCCAATCAAGGCCTGCAAGGTACGGGAAAGGTGTTGAAAGCGCCGCACTGGATGCTACAGTCATGGCTGATGTCACCACAGAAAGATATGAGAGCGCCGAACTGGAACAAAACGCCGCATTGGAAGCAAGGGCCGCAAAGGTTGAAGCGCCGAACTGATCCCTGTGGTTGAAAGCGCCGAACTGACTGCACTCGCCACATGAGAGTGAACGCTTTCGCCAAGCGAACCCACCATAGCAGAGGGGGGGGGGGAGCACTCAACCAAAGCGGCGCACTGGAAACAAACACCTGCCAAGGTAAAAGGCCGAGACTGTGCTACAGAGGTTGTTAGCACTAGGTACCACTCTCGGAGCAGATAAAACTTGAATGGAGACGGGACTAGACGTTTGATGACGAAAGAGACGACGAAGATACTCGCTCAAGTAGGAGTCTTGAGGCCACCTCTAAAAAGTCTACGTCTAGATGCAACCCATCGATATTCAGAAAAATCATCATCATTGAAGCATGAACAAACAGAACACCGATGTGACCAACTACAACAGCCTATACAATCCACAGACAAAGTGTGTGGATCAGCAGCGGAAAAGTTGCTGTTGCACTGATCACAGTGTTTGCGTTTCTTAGAAGAACTTTGATTCCATTTATTTCCCATCTTGACAATCAAATGATGTCTAACTGAGAGAACAACACACGTCCACTCGGTGTAGCGACAAGAAAGGGATTGACAGGCACAGGTAGTCACATGATCATCTGAGTGAGCTCCACGCTTACGGAGATGATTGACAGGTGCTGATGTCGGGGTGGGGGCAGAGGTCAGGGCGGGTCAGAGGCCAGTAAGATTTGATTCAACTTAGCCTACAGCACGTTTCCACACATGGTCGTAGAAGAAGAGGAGAGGTGCTTACCGTGAGATAGGATAAGTTTAAAAATTACATTATTCACTGTTGTATCCTGTTCACCTTTTAAAGCCATTTTCAATTTTAAGAAAGAAACTGTGTTATGTAAGCAGTGCAACTTAAGTTAATGACAATCCAATCAGGAAAATGTGCCTGTTCCCAGGAACCTATACTGGTCATAAGAGGCGACTCTATTGATTGTGTGTGTCATCGTACCCGAAAAAATGTCAAGATGCATCTTTTCAAATGAATAAAAATTCATTAATAGGTTATGTTTATGTTCATTTTCCTTTTCGTACCTGTTTAGGTGAGAGCACATTCTTTGTTGAGCTAAGTGAGACATCAGCAATCTTACAACATGCCAGCAAGCACTCTCTTGTTCTCATGGATGAACTAGGTGAGGTGAAAGTGTATTGAGATGTGCGATACAAATGTATAAATATTCTGTTTCTTTTATAATAGAGAAGGACATATTAGTGGTTGAAAGCGAAATGACCTTCACATTTGACCTCCATTTTCCATGTTGTTTGCCTAGTTACATGACAGTCAAGATGAATGTAATTTTGGCCTACATATCCAGTTCAGCATGGCTATATTTTATGAACATATTCTGAGGTTGTCTGATGTGGTGAGAACTCTTTCATTAACATTATCATTACATGTCCTTTCTGATATTTGTGTCTGATACCATAAATATGTCTTTACACAGGTCGAGGCACAGCCACATATGATGGCACTGCCATTGCCTGCTCTGTTGTGCAGGAGTTATCCAGCGGTGTCAACTGTCGCACGCTCTTCTCAACTCATTATCACTCACTGGTGGAGGAGTTCAGTCATGATACTAATGTCAGGCTGGGACACATGGTATGTAGAGATGCTAACGTATGGCAGGGACACATGGTATGTAGAAATGATAAGGTCAGGCTGGGACACATGGTATGTAGAGATGATGAGGTCAGGCTGGGACACATGGTATGTAGAGATGCTAACGTATGGCTGCGACACATGGTATGTAGAGATAATGAGGTCAGGCTTGGACACATGGTATGTAGAGATAAGGTCAGGCTGGGACACATGGTATGTAGAGATGATGAGGTCAGGCTTGGACACATGGTATGTAGAGATGATAAGGTCAGGCTGGGACACATGGTATATAGAGATAATAAGGTCAGGCTAGGACACATGGTATGTAGAGATGCTAACGTATGGCTGGGACACATGGTATGTAGAGATGATAAGGTCAAGCTGGGACACATGGTATGTAGAGATGTTAACGTATGGCTAGGACACATGGTATGTAGAGATGATGAGGTCAGGCTGGGACACATGGTATGTAGAGATAATAAGGTCAGGCTGGGACACATGGTATGTAGAGATAATAAGGTCAGGCTGGGACACATGGTATGTAGAGATGCTAACGTATGGCTGGGACACATGGTATGTAGAGATGATATGGCTGGGACACATGGTATGTAGAGATGCAAACGTATGGCTGGGACACATGGTATGTAGAGATGCTAACGTATGGCTGGGACACATGGTATGTAGAGATGATGAGGTCAGGCTGGGACACATGGTATGTAGAGATAAGGTCAGGCTGGGACACATGGTATGTAGAGATGATAAGGTCAGGCTGGGACACATGGTATGTAGAGATGATAAGGTCAGGCTGGGACACATGGTATGTAGAGATAATAAGGTCAGGCTGGGACACATGGTATGTAGAGATGATAAGGTCAGGCTGGGACACATGGTATGTAGAGATGATAAGGTCAGGCTGGAGACACATGGTATGTAGAGACAACATGTAGATGATATGGCTACACATGGTATGTAGAGATGCATGGCTGGGACACATGGTATGTAGAGATGATAAGGTGGGACACATGCTGGGACACATGGTATGTAGAGATGATAAGGTCAGGCTGGGACACATGGTATGTAGAGATGATGAGGTCAGGCTGGGACACATGGTATGTAGAGATGATAAGGTCAGGCTGGGACACATGGCATGTAGAGATGATGAGGTCAGGCTGGGACACATGGTATGTAGAGATGATGAGGTCAAGCTGGGACACATGGTATGTAGAGATGATGAGGTCAGGCTGGGACACATGGTATGTAGAGATGATAAGGTCAGGCTGGGAGAGATGATAAGGTCAGGCTGGGACACATGGTATGTAGAGATGATGAGGTCATGTAGAGATGATACTGGAGATACATGGTATGTAGAGAGATGATATAGAGGTCAGGCTGGGACACACATGGTATGTAGAGATGATACGGTCAGGCTGGGACACATGGTATGTAGAGATGATAAGGTCAGGCTGGGACACATGGTATGTAGAGATGATAAGGTCATGGCTGGGACACATGGTATGTAGAGATAGATGACACATGGTCAGGCTGGGACACATGGTATGTAGAGATGTAGAGACGATGGGTCAGCTGGACACATGGTATGTAGAGATGATGAGGTCAGGCTGGGACACATGGTATGTAGAGATGATAAGGTCAAGCTGGGACACATGGTATGTAGAGATGCTAACGTATGGCTGGGACACATGGTATGTAGAGATGATAAGGTCAGGCTGGGACACATGGTATGTAGAGATGATAACATTGGGAATGAGATGGCTGGGACACATGGTATGTAGAGATGATAATAAGGTCAGGATGATGGACAAGGCTGGGACACATGGTATGTAGAGATACAAGGCTGGGACACATGGTATGTAGAGATGATAAGGTCAGGCTGGGACACATGGTATGTAGAGGCTAGGACATGGACACATGGTATGTAGATGATAATGAGGAGACATGTAGGCTGGGACACATGGTATGTAGAGATGATCAAGCTGGGACACATGGTATGGGACACATGGTATGTAGAGATGATAAAGGTCAGGCTGGACACATGGTATGTAGAGTGATGAGGTCATGTAGAGAGATGATGAGGTGAGGGTCAGGCTGGGACACATGGTATGTAGAGATGATAAGGTCAGGCTGGGACACATGGTATGTAGAGATGGATGGTAAGGATGATAGGCTGGGACACATGGTATGTAGAGATGATAAGGCTAGGACACATGGTATGTAGAGATGCTAAAGTATGGCTGGGACACATGGTATGTAGAGATGATGAGGTCAGGCTGGGACACATGGTATGTAGAGATGATGAGGTCAGGCTGGGACACATGGTATGTAGAGATGATAAGGTCAGGCTGGGACACATGGTATGTAGAGATGATAAGGTCAGGCTGGGACACATGGTATGTAGAGATGATAAGGTCAGGCTGGGACACATGGTATGTAGAGATGGGCAGCATGGATACATGGTGACACATGGTATGTAGAGACATGGTATGTAGATGTCAGGCTGGGACACATGGTATGTAGAGAGGCTGATAAGGTCAGGCTGGGACACATGGTATGTAGAGATGATAAGGTCAGGCTGGGACACATGGTATGTAGAGATGATAAGGTCAGGCTGGGACACATGGTATGTAGAGATGATAAAGGTCAGGCTGGGACACACATGGTATGTAGAGATGATAAGGTCATGGCTGGGACACATGGTATGTAGAGATGATAAGGTCAGGCACATGGTATGTAGGGACACATGGTATGTAGAGATGATAAAGGAGGCTGGGACAATGCTATGGGACATGGGACATGATGTAGAGACATGGTATGTAGAGAGATGATAAGGTCAGGCTGGGACACATGGTATGTAGAGATGATAAGGTCAGGCTGGGACATGGTATGTAGAGATGGCTGGGACACATGGTATGTAGAGATGATGAGGTCAGGCTGGGACACATGGTATGTAGAGATGATAAGGTCAGGCTGGGACACATGGTATGTAGAGATGATAAGGTCAGGCTGGGACACATGGTATGTAGAGATGATGTCAGGCTGGTCAGGCTGGGACACATGGTATGTAGAGATGATGACACATGGTATGTAGAGACAGATGGGACACATGGCATGTAGAGATGATAGGCTAAGGACACATGGTTCACATATGCTGGGACACATGGTATGGTATGTAGAGATGATGGTCAGGCTAGGACACCTGGTACAGGCTGATGAGACACACATGGTATGTAGATGATGAGGCTGGGACACATGGTATGGCATGATGGGTCAAGATGGATGTTATCAGGGTGATGTTATCAGGGTGGTTTACATTGTTGTTGATGTTTTAGTTGTGGCAGGAAGATTTCCTGGGATAGTACATATTGGTTTAAATGTCCAGAGCTTGACATCAGTGTGACTTTGTTGACTTCAGGCATGTATGGTGGAGAACGAGAATGAGGAAGATCCATCTCAGGAAACTATCACCTTCTTGTACAAGTTTATCAAGGGTGCATGTCCCAAGAGTTATGGCTTCAATGCTGCTCGTCTCGCCAACATTCCTGAGGAGGTAAAGACTACCATTTCATTGTTTCTCTACCGCAGGATCAATCCTTCATTCAAGTCATGTAGAAAACAAAAGTTTTAAAGGTGTTGTCAATGCTCAAGGTTAAGAGAGGGTCAGGGGGATTGGCAAAATCTAAAGAAACTGTTCAGCTCAGATGCTTCACCAGCAGCTCAGTGGGACATAAGGTCTATCCGTTTATGATAGATATTTTTCAGATTTATTTCTCAAATCCTTTGGTCTGTGAAAGAAAGAAATATAAATTAAGACTTCTATCTTTTTAATGCCTACAATGTGTTTTGAAGGGAGTAATGAATCTATCTATTTGTTTGTGCCAGATGTCGTTTCATGAGCAGATTTTGAAAACTGTTCTTTACAAACATTGTCACCTGGATAATCCTAGTGGTGAATTTGTGCTTTGCTATTAACAACGGCCTCCAGTTTGTTCAAGTGTGGAGGAGATGTGTTTGGCCTGTCGGGCTAGGGTTGCTAATATTCCTCTCTTGAAGTGAGGAAATTGGTTTGTTGAGTGGTGACGGTACTGCTCGGTATGGGTTGGCTTACGGTACACACTGGTCTGGAGTTTGTTGTCTTATATTTTTTATGCCCCCGCCATATATGGCTGGGGGCATATAGGGTAACCCTCCGTGTACGTCCGTACGTCCGTACGAAACAGGGAATGTACTCTATCCACTTCTCCACTAAAAATGCTCTGTGGAATTCAATGAACTTATACATGGGCTTTCTTTGGACTCTAATGGTGTGCATCTCATATTTTGTTTTTGTATTTTATTGTGTTTTTTGTAAGTTTAGAGATATTTGAACTTCTATTCATCCTGTTCGTCCCATACAACAGGGGGTGTACTTTATCCACTTCTCCTCAAAAACCACTGCACAAAACTCATTTAGCTTACATATGTCTTTTACAGAGACTCTAAAGGTGTGCATCTCATATCTTTTTTTTGTATTTTATAGTTTTTTGTATGTTTAGAGACATTTGAACTTAGATAAATTTTGTTGAATTTCTCTATGATGATAGTGAAATAGGGAATTAAGTCTATCCACTTCTCCACAAAAACTGCTCAACAGAATTGATTAAGCTTATACATGTGTTTCATTGGGACTCTAAAGGTGTGCATCTCATGTTGCATAGATGTTTATTTTGAACTTGTTCGTGAATTTTTTCAATTAGTGATCTTTATATGTCTTATGAATGTCAGCGGGGGCATCCGTGTCCATGGACACAATTTTTTCTTGTTTACTCTAATAAAGGTGAAATTCATACGAGTGTGTTGGACATTGAGATAGTTGCAAATGTCAGCTATGTTCGCAAGTTCATTGAAACTGCTTGAGTAGTATTATAATGATGGGTCTATTACAGGGTACCCTGTGGGTTTATTTTGGTTTAATTCCGCTCCCAGCATCCAGTGTCCCCCGAGCGTGAGACATTGTTCGATGTTCCCCTCTTATTGACTACACGACTATCTAGGCCTCAACGTGCTGAGTGGAGTTTCTTTTATAGGAGGTCTTAGAAACTCCTAACGAGATCGAGGTCTAGACTGACTGTTGGTGTCCTTATGCGTAAGTCGTGACGCCATCGATGCCGATCCATCGTTTCGTGTCCATGGGGGACAGCGACGTCTTGTCAAGGATGATCCCGTAGATTTTGAGTTTGTCGCTTCTCAACACATTCATTTGGTGTTGGAACATTTTATTCTTGAAGAGAGCCTGTTTGAAGAGGGTGTGCTTGATGTGCTGTTTCACCACTTATTTTTTTCACACCCTTAGCCTTTCGGATTTCGGCGGCGGCTTTCTTGATGGAATACATTTAGGTCTTAACCTTTCATCTTGCCGATGACCTTTTTATTCGTTTGGTTGTGTAGGGCTTGGTATGGGGGGTAATCACTTGTATCGTACAGGTGCATGTGTTTAGCCATGTCTTCGTACACATCCTCGGTACGAATTTCCATCAGCAGGAAATCTGTGTCCGTGTACAACACTTCGCACCTGTCACTGTATTGCTTTTTTAACTCGTTGTAGTAGAAATCGTACATCAAGTGTTTGGATAAGTTGAGAATGCTCATCCCCACGTAAACGGGTCGGTTCAGTTTGATACGGCTTTTAGTCATGTGTAGCGCTGCCAAGTCGTTATCTAATATATTACTTCGATTGAATGCCGGGCTGGCTATGAGTTTTTCCTCTTCGTGTGATTGCACTCGTTTCACATTCACCCTTTTTCTCAAGTTTTTCATGGTTTTGCTGAATACCGAGTTATTCATTAACTCATACAGGTTTTTTTCAAAGTCGCTCTTGGCCTTTTTTCTCAGATCCGTGTTCAACCGGATGTAAGGTTCCATACAGGGACTTTGATCGAATTGCAAGACCCGATGTATTTTGTTCAGCTTCATGCCCAGCGATAAGTATAGTTGCAGATTCCGATAGTGCACGACATATTTTTTTCTTGTTCATCAAGAGTGGTACAATTTTTTCCATCTGAGCCAGTGTATTATCACCCAAAAATTCTCACTGATAGTCGGACATCCAGTCTCGATTCACCATTAATCGTTTGGGAGCCAGCGGATAACTGTTGTGCGATTCGTGCAATTCCACGGGGTACTCCAAATCCACTTCGAGGATGTAGCCTTTGTTCGAATCCGCGGTGCGATGCTCATGATATCGATCTCATCGTCAAACCATTCGAATCCCCCGTTGGGTAGATACTGACTCATAGTCCAGCCATACAGGTTGTTAGCGTCTAGATAGAGGATGTGGTTGGAGGGTTTACTCGAGTCCTAGCCTTCCACGTATGGGTTGTTTGTTTTCGCATAGCGTTTGGAGACCATGGAAATCCCACCACGCATTCCTTTCTCGATGAACAGGTGCATGTCGTAATCGGTGAACAATTCTAGTTTGACACCCGTTTTCTTAAGCAGAGCATCCCACGAGAGACCGGGGCTGGTGTAGTACCACGCAGGGTCGAATTGATATTGTTTCAAACACGTGTTTCTGAAAGTCTCGAACACATCGGGCCAGCAGGAGCATGTCTGTTTTCAAGTAGAGATCGTGATAATCACCTAAATGTTGACAGCCTAGTTTCTCCCACACATTCTGAGCGTGGTCGCAATCGTTCTGGGAGATGGTTGAGTCGGTTAAGTTGCTGTAAAAGCAGTCGATGGGCGGTAAGCGCGTCTCCTCAAACTTAAACCAATCGTCCATGTACTCGTACGGGTACACACCCTTTTTTGACAGCAGATGTCGAGTTGCTGCATCGGTGTATCGATGGGTGATGGCGAAGGTATCGTTGGCCTTGACCAAACTGTCGAGCGATGACAGGAGAAACTGAGCGCTGTCTATAAATCTCAGACCGTTGAGCAAGAAGGAAATGTATTTTTCCATGTTGTTGGGGATGCACGTTAACTTGCCCTCAATCTTCGAGATGGCCTGCATGATCAGGTGGGCATCGTAACCTCTCAAATTGTGTAACACCATGGGGATGTGGATGGCTTTGGGATCGATTCTAAGCTTTAAGTTACACGCGTTATGGCCGGCACCTCGGTATCGACCGGTGATGTGATAATGGTCTCTCACAGAATCGTCTTTAACCCTTTCAACACCGCAGGCCGCTTTAGCGGCCACAACGTTATGAGTCCCCAGACACCGGAGGCCGATTAAGCGGCCAGGCAGTAGTCACGTCAAAATGAGACATAATTTTAGGAACCTACCTGACTTATGATTCATATATTAAATCTATCACATTTCACAATGTCTGAAAACACTTATTAAATTTCAATTTATCATATATTATCAGCAGAATTAAAATTATAAACTATTTTTCGCAATGTTATTGAAAACAACGATTCTCGGACACATGCTTCGCAGCGGGTCTACAATAACATTGTGAAAGAGCAAAAATAACGATGTTTCGAGGAATTCATTAAATAAATTGAATAAACTAATGAATAAAATCAACAACATTCATAAAAGTTGTCAAACGTACATATAAAATTACTATTTCCATCTTTTTGTGCGATCATGTAATGCAAGTCAAGTCACTGACGAGTGACATCTCGGCTCTCGCCGCCTCAATCTTCACGCTCGGACACGATGTTTAATGCGAAAATATATACATGAAGCATTTTTGTCACAGGTCATAACCTAGCACTCGATACGTCCAATAAGTTCCATAATTTACGTACAGGTAGCGATTTCTTGCTTAATATGTTCAGAATAGCATTATTTTACCCAAAACTTTTGTCTAAATCTGAAGGTTTTCGTTTACGAGGACGGTATCCATTGCCGTAATATGATTGGCTGCCTTAGGTCACGTGTCTGATTTTGACCAATCACGACCCTTATAGCAGACTGTGGCTTAAAAAGCCATTAAAACCAATCTTTATCCAATAAAATCGCTTCTTACAACTGTGAAAATACTCTTGGCAAGGGTACAGTGATATTGTTGATGTTCAGAGCTTTGAACGATGCCGCCATCAAACGATTAAGCCGCATGTTATGCATCTGAAGGCTTCAAACGGAGGTATTTTCCGTTGTTATGTCATGTTACCGAGCGGAAAGCCACAGATATCGGGAAATAGGCGACCATACATATTATTTAAGAAATCTTTTTATAATAATTTTCTGATGACGTAAAATTGAAAATATAAAAGAAAAAGGCACGGGCATGTTATCACATGTCACAAATGGAAAAAAATCGCCATAGTTTTTGCTTCTTTCGTGGTTTATCTGGACGTTATAAATGTAAGCTTGCATTTTCATTCAAAAATACATTTATTTAAGTTGTAGTTGTATTATTTGAATAATATTATAAAAATAAACTTCATATTTATCAACAGTAGGATTAGATCTTTTAAATGGTGTATGGGATGTAGTAGCAATAACGTTTTACAAGCTTATAATTTCCTTCATAATCATAGGCTTCATCTATGACCTCAGGGTCTCTGGGAACTCGGTGTCACGGCAGTAAATGCCTCTGGTTGACTGGTGTTGAAAGAGTTAAGGGGTCCCTGACATACATGACAATATCTAGCTCGTCGATGAGCTCGCTTATCCTCCGGTGTCATATCCATGGGGCAGGGTCCGACAAAGCTTCCCTGATTTTTCTCTCTTCGCGTTGGAAGAACATGAGAAACGTTTCGGCTGCGTTGGAACCTTGGTAGACCACAGGAGCGTTCGTTTGGCTTCGCAGGCTTCGTGTTCTTGCGTTTTGTAAGTGAAACTGTGTTCGGTCATGATGTGTTCGACCTGATTGATGAGGGCTTCGAAGTCAGCATAGATGATGTAGGGTACGGACATTTTATGTTTATGGTTGATGAATTTTAAGATGTTTTTCTCTTCAATTCGAACAGCGGTCTCTCCCACGCCTCGGCAATCCTCCCGGTGTGATTCCAGCAGGTTGGCTCGCATGAAGCCATGCAGGGACTGTTTGCAGAAATGTTTCTTTCTGGCGTGGTTCGATTGGTCGTACAACAGTTGACACAAACTTTTTATCGCCGCGTAGTGATACTGGTTGCCTTTTTTGATGAGGAATAAATTGATTCTGCGCACATCATTGGACCTGGAGCTGATTCGGTGCACGATGGGTTTGTCCCCTTCGTGACCGAACACGTTAATAGCCAAAGGGTTTTGCTTTTCGAATCGTGTCCAGTATGAGATTGGTGTGAGGCGTTCTACACCTGTGAAGTCGAACCCAGATGCCTCCATGATGGCGGACCCAGATGCACGGATTACCTTTCGGTTCATGCAAGGCAGCTATGACCGCCACCACAGCGCAATAATTATTAACATCCTCCCCTTTGGGTTCAGGGTTGAGGATGGCCTTTTCATCTCTGAAATGCTTCGGTACCAGGAGGTACAATCCACCTTTGAATGGTTTGTAATTCGCCATGTTGAGATAAACGGTGTTGACGGTACCCACCACCCATCCCGAACCTCGATGCGTCCATTTTTCCAATGATGCTTGTATTTTTTGGAATGAGGTGTCGATGGAGGATTCGATCAATTCTAGGACTTCCTGCTTGCCTCTGAAATAAGGTTCGATCGACTCGATACTGCCATCTGACTGAAGTTTTTGGAACGTCATTTTCATCTTCAGTTGGAATGTGTTGGGGGGGCAGGATTGGGAGAGGATGGGATTTCCCAGGAAAAATGGGAGAGGATGGGATTTCCATATAGATATATGGAATGTAAGGGATATATACTTACCTAGGAAAAAAACCAACCCGTGCCACCAAAAAGAGATTTGTCTTTGGACCAGATCCAAGAAATACGCTCCCTACGCGGTGTGCTCCCAGCAAGCGAGGTCAAAAAGTGCTTCGGTATTGGGTCCGCAAGTCTATACGAGCTATGGCGAGAGCCGGCTAAGAACCTTCAACCGAGATAGCTCCGCCCTCCAGCACAGATGTATTGCCTGCCGCAGGACCTTTGACCCTCTTCCCTGCTAGCGAGACAGCTCGGCCCACCATCCAGGACATCTACGACCGCTTGGGGAGGCTCGAGGTTCATGTGGAGCAAACCGCGACGATGTTGTCGGCTCGTGCCGAGCAAACTACAACGATGTTGGTCGACATCTTGTCTAGGCTGGACGACGACGGCGGAGGAAATAGAGGAGGTACAAGAAGAGATGCATCTGGATATCCATAAGGTGAGGCAGATGCTAGAATCGGCTCAAAAGTGGACCTACCTTTCGATAGCCGCCGTGTTTCTCTGGAAGGTCATTTACAAGACCTGGAAACATTGCACACTGGCCGACAGACCGGTCGGCGAGAAGACACCCAAACCAGTTTTCGTGACTAAACCCGGGACCCCTTCCATATGGCCTAGAACTATATAGTTTGCTGGTTGAAAAATGGATTTGTGGTTGCTGAAAAAATGGGTTACCCTAGCGAAAACGAGATTCTTATAAACAATACGTCGCTGTCCCGCATGGACACAAAATGATTGCCATCGATGGCGTCATGACTTACGCGTAAGGACACCATCTGTCAGTCTAGACCTCGACTTGTTGGGAGTTTCTAAGATCCCCTATAACAGAAACACCACTCGGCATGTCGAGGCCAAGATAGTCGTGTAGTCAATACTTTGGGGAAGAGAGACATCGAATGATGTCTTACGCCCGGGGGATGCTGGGAGCGGAAATAAACCAAAATAAACCCATAGGGTACCCTGTAATAGAACCATCATTATAATACTACTGCTTGGTTGAGGAAGCTGCATCTTGTGTGTGATTGGTTATGGCTCTGGTACTAGTAGATTCATGTTGGTTCCAGGTATTGTTTGCGATGGTTCCATGTACTGACAAATGATGCTTCCTAAAATTATTGTTACAGTTTTTGTTTTGACATGTGATTTTGTAACTGTTGCAAATAGTAGCCATTAGTGGAACTACCAAGCCATTAATCACACTGTCCTTTGTGTTTCAGGTGATCAAGGGAGCAGTTGGGAAGGCAAAAGAGTTTGAAGAATGTTTTAACAGATTGAAACTTCTTAAGTATGTACAAAGATGTGTGGTTTGTAGCCAATCCTGGGTGGTTCTAGTTCTAAAGTACATGTCAAACAATATTCTTTTGAACTTGTCTCAGAGCTTCATCTTTTATTTTGGGCACAATGTGTGAAGCCCATTTCTGGTGTCCCCCGCCGTGATGTTGCTGGAATATTGCTAAAAGCGGAGTAAAAACCAAACTCAGTCAGTCAGTCATCTTTTATTTATTCATCATATAAACCTCAAATAACTCAAGTTATATTTGCTGGTCCCTTCAATTTGTCACAACATTGTTTGACTGTATGTACAGTAATCATGAAAATGTCTTCAGTTATTATGAAATAAATTTGAAAATGTAGCATTTGTATTTGCAGTAATATTTGATGGATGTAAACACTCTGATATGACATGTGTTTGCTTCAGGTCCCTGTGGTGGGAGTGCACTGCAGACAGAGTGCGTGCCATGCAGCAGGTTTACCAGTGACACTTCTTCAACATCCTGCTTGAGAAGTGCAGTGTGATGTGTACAGTAGGCCCGTAGGTAGCAGTGGAACAGTCCATGTTGCTGATGATGAGGATGATGACAATCATGCTACACATGAAAACATAGAACAGACAGAGGGCAGTGACAGAACATCTGCAGTCATCCTCCAGTCTCTCCTGGGGCTCAATTGAAGCCATGCCTTCTTTCAGCATTGCAGGGCAGACATGTCCAATCAGCACTGAAGCTGAAGACTTAAAGCAACATATTTGGGACATGTAGTGTTCATATAAGGAATCAAATATGATGATTGATTACGTTTTTCAGCCTGAGACATTTTTGTATCAGAACTTTGTTACCCAACCACCAAATTTATGTAAGTAGTGTGAAAGATAGTACATTTATGTTCACCTGCTTGTTAGTGTTGTGCAGTTATCTGGAACAAAGAAATGTTATGACATGTCTGTAGTTTGAGAGTTCTGGATTTAAGTGAATGGAATTCTACACAAGCGTGGACGGGGCTGAAGGTGAGGTAATTGACAGAGAGTCAGTGTCTATATGAATGTGTGAATTGTAATGGCTGGTGGATGCTTGACAACATGCCACAGTCAGCTTGTCCTGATGCAAGAATCCTCCCCATTACAGGGTGGAGGACATTTGTCATCTTATTCCATTAATCAGTTCAATGCAAGTATCACATACCAAGAGAAAGCGTTGACTGGACAGTACTTTGTTTCATGTGTATTTGACACAGTAAACAGCAGTGAAGAGTCACTGACAAGAAGCATGTTCACCTTAAATGATTTAGGTGCTTTGTGGCACACTCAGTAAACACCCTTTTTGCAAGGTTTGGCTAAAACCCAGTTATCTAACCTCCATGTTATAATATTGAGATCCGGTTGGTTTCACATGATTTGACTATCCTCCCTACAAGGAAACCAATAACACCCTCCGTGAAGAAAACAGACATGTTGAGTGGGCACAATAAATCTCCAAGCACCCATCTGCAAAGTAATGAGCTGCACAATGTTACAGGGTGAAAATAGAATTATACAGCCGTTTCCAAGCTATTGGTCTTGGTTTTCATTCTTTTACAATGGTAGATTGAAACATGTTGGTAAGATAAATTTGTTTTAGTTTTAATAACTCGTGGTATATGTGTTTTTATTTGTCCCTCGTTGTATAACACTTACCTGTGTCTTGTGATATGAACCCTAATGTACCTCGCATGTCATACTGCCTCAACATGAAGTACTCTGGAAGGGAATCACTCCCTTTTAATTCATATGCTGATCATACAGAACAAACAGTTTCTAATTATTTTCTTTTATTTGCCAACCCAGGTTTGTCAAGTGAGTGAATCACAGTGTAATTGCCATAAATAGCACCACAATACAGAAACTGTATACATATGTAATCATATCAAGTATTGCAGCTTGTTTGTACAAACCTTACATGAATATATATTCAGGAACCATATATACCTACTTAATCACAATGCACAAATGTTACAGCTTGTTTGTAGATACAAAGACACACTTATTACATACCAAAATTTTAAATCTGGAAAGTTTTGCCAACAGGAAAGCACTGTGAAAATTGCAAGTGTGAGTCACTCAATGTCCGTCACTAACCTGCCACATTTTAGCAAGTTACTTATATAAGGCTGAGCATTCCAGACATTTGCCAACCAGTCTATATTGTAAGATATATCCGCTACTCCAACAACAACAACACATGCATGTTTAAAAACATTGACACTACTCACATTTCATCACAGTGCCTCCTGTACCGTCAGGGATAATCTACAACAGGGATAGGTCACTCGCTTGCTTTTACCATTTGTACTAATTAGCATGTGCCTCGTCATGCTCCCAACGCACACAGTGACTTGGTTCGTTCCCAGCGCAACTTCGGCTGCGTTTAACAGTTCTTTAGCCAGTTTATTGTATCAGTCGGAATTTTAGAATGAATGAATTAAAAGAGAAAGAATTATATGTGAATGAATGAAATAAAGAAAAAGAACAAAAGAAATAAATACATATGTGAATGAATGAAAGAATAAATGATACACCACGGCCATCCCTCCCCAAACATGTTAAAGAACGCAAAACAATCGCTAGAAGACGTGTTAACATCAGCTGTCCTTTTATAAAAAAAAAATCTACTTTGAGACATTTTTCACATTAGTAATTAATTCAGATATCTTATTGCATGTGTGGAATGGCATGGCTATTGAATGTTAACTGACCCTGTCACACACCCCTCAAAAACAGAAAGTTTAAAACTATCACAAAGCGCGTTGTAAACACCTTTCCAGTTTTGTCAAATACTAAGATCAACAAGAAAGAAAGAAGTTTTAGAACTATAACACTCAAGCATCACTGGCGGATCAGAACAGATAGGCGATAATATGTCACATTTTTCACACCTCAAATGCACCCTAACAATTTTTTTAAAATTATGAAACTATCACTATTACCTGCAAACAACTTTCATCTGATGGTTTATTCCCCTCCTAAAAATTAAAGGTGTATGTGCAAGAGGTTTTTAGAACAATAACTAGAAGCACTCAAACAACGCCCTGTAGTATTTCAATGGCGGATCAGATCAGATCGGCGATGTCATATTTTTCACACCTCAAATACACCCTAACAATTTTTTTTTAAAGTTATAAAACTATCACTATTAAACAAACACCTTTCAACTAAAGGTATATTTCCCTTCTAAAAATTACACGAATATGTTAAAGAAGTTTTTAGCGATAGAATTTAGTCTTTCTTCGCTGTGTACCGAGAATTGAAGCCAGTGAGCTACAACATGCCGACTTGAAACTTTACTACAAATCTACTCTACTAATACTGACACTAATAACAATTATTTGACTTAAAATGAAGTGACAGAATAGGTAACTTATCTTCTACATGTAGGTTTTCAGTTGTCACAACACTCAGCAAATGTAATCAGCTGTTGAAAATAAACCAAGCTGCCGCCATATTGGCTACACTGGTCACGTGATAAGGCGAGGCATTCGCTAAGGGGCTTTTCGAGGAGTGACCTCTCCCCCTTATATAGTCTCCCTGGTACCATACAGGAATGCTACAGCATCTTCAATCTTTGGTATCTGGGCAGAGCATCACAAAGCAGAATAAGAGAACACAAACATTAAAATGCTAAGTACCTACCGGGCCTTCATAGGCACATATTTCAGTCTCCACAAACAACATCTAATCATACAAGCAACTTGTCTTTCTTTCACACTTCTTACATTTAAAAAGGTCCATCCACACTCTTCGTTGTATATATCAACAGCTTTTCGGCTCAAATCATGAAGTATTTCAGCAGAACCAGTCGAGTCCCAAAGCACATTCTTCAAATCACTGGCAGACATAAAATTGCTTATCTGCATCATTGCCCACAAAGGCAAATGATTCTCTACATATCACAGGAAAACAGTGTTGTACACCTTTACTGATGATGGGCAGTTGCAGAATTTGTAAGACTGAGCTTTCATACACTTCATTCTGTAATGATACACGTTATTTTACAAATATTTAAATTTTCTGTACAGATCAACATGATCAAGATTCTTACATAAATATTATATATGAATTCCATTCGATTAGTATTGTTTCTTCGTATTGAGGAAGCACTGCTGGAAAACACTGCTTCACATCCTTCCAATCTACTGATGCAGCAGCATACCTGCAGTACTTCCTCTACAGCACACATCTCTAGTTGAAACAGTTCAATACCTACACCATACCAGACTGACAAGGGATAATTCAGCAGTATTCAGTTTGCAAATACTGTTCGGTTATATATTCATGTAAAACCACACATTAACACTGAAATGTTACACCAGCTTTAGACCTTTTAGACTGGGTGGTAAAGAAGGCACAAATATTCAACGGAGGCTTCATCCCAAATTTAGTTGAGAAGAAATGTGCATTACAAGGCATCCACAAACAGTGTTTGCTGATGAAATGGTAACTAATACGGGGAAACTGCTCAAATGTCAAATGTGAATCTTGCGTATTTTAGGTAAAGAAGCATTGTCACTAAGGTGACATAATCCCCCGCCGCAAATTATCAAATCAAACTATAAAGTAATGAGGGTTTAAGTTAAATGTCAACAAAAACATGACCAGTCATCCTCTCTTGATGTCTTGCTCTTTAGGTGTTCAAACAAACACATATTTTCAAGACTGACTTTGACATGAATGTCATAGTGTATAGTATGAAATATGCAAAAATAGTACTAAAAGAAATTGCTTTTTGAAAAACATTTAAGGAAAGTCTTTGAAGAAGATCCAGTGAACTGTTTTTGAAATATCTTGCTGACAATACAGGTTAACATGCTCAAATCTTCAAAGTGTCTCTGTGACCTTGAAAATTAAGTGAAGGTCACCAAAATCGACTGGGCCTTGCGCCTTCCCTAGATAAAGCATTGTGTTGAATATGAAGAAATTCCAGTGAACGGCTCTTGAGATAGCTTGACATGCAGGTAAAACGTTAAAGTACCCTTTTGGCCTTGAAATTAAGGTCAAGGTCACCAAACCTGACTTGGACCTTTCTTATACTGTGATGAACCTAGGTACCGATTATGAAAAGAATGTAGTTAACGGTTCTTAAGATATTCCAATTCGTACGTACGTACGGACGGAGCCTAATACTAAATCGCGCGGCGGGGGACAACAGTAATATAGTACGATTATTCCAAGAACGGAAAAGACAGAGCGCCGAGTCCTGGGAACACCTTGGAATGTAAAGACTAGAGTGTACACCATCATACTGCCAACTTGCTTGAGTGGACAAGATCACCATAATCTACGAATGACTATTAAATAATATAATCGCAAACATTACAGACAAATCCCCTTTGATGTGTGCTCAACTGGTTTTGCAGATCTGCTTCGGGATTGAGTTTACATCCTTATGGATCCTGTGTCAACTCAAATTCAACATCCTTATGGATCCTGTGTCAACTCAAATTCACGCATGATCCAAACTATAGCTTCTCCTAAACAATCTCCAAACTGATGAAGTATCAACCCTACACACAGCTAGTCGTGTACATCTGTAAGGTACTAAATGTGTGGATGTATGAAGAAACTCCTCTTCTTGCACTTCCCTCTGAGTGAGCCTTCTGGTCTAATGTGATATACCAGAGACATTCAGATGACCTACCTACCCAAGGGAGGTGTTTCCCAGAAATTTTGATATGTGCAAGCAGTGCACTGGCTTGTTCATGACTTGCCTGAAGTAAGTGTGTTCAGTTTTAAATCGCTTTTAGCTATTCCAGCAATATCAGTTATCACGGTAGGGGACACCAGAAATGGGCTTCTCCAGAAATGGGCTTCACACATTGTACCTATGTGGGAAATCGAACCCAGGCCTTCGGGATGACAGGTGAATGATTTAACCCCCAGGCTACCCCACTGCCCCATTTACCTCAAGACTGGTGAGTGAAAAATAATTGTGATAAAAGGACTAGCACCCGAAAACTTGCCCAGAGCCTTTCCCATAATATATCTGGCTGTGGAATGAGAGGAAGTTAAAAAATTCAAGATCCAACAGGATGTCTGTTGTGATAACTGTTAACAAGGTGTTGAAAGCAGACCATAAACAAATACATCCTAAAACAGTTTAGGTTAATATTGCAGATTCCACACAGAAAATACTTCATAGAAATAAACACTTTAACAATTCAAGAGAACAATTTGCTCCCAATACTGTCAAATTAATTAATATTCGTTCTGTGCCTTGAAATGACATACAAAAACTGATACTGTGGCTGACCAATAACCATTTTTCCAAACCCCTCTACAACTAACATCTCCCATTCTATTCTACAGCTCTTCTACCAGGGAGCAGTGAATATTGAGTTTAGTCTCACCAGACGATGGAGCTTGTACCTGCACTTTCCATAATCAAGTCATGTATCAAACGAGACCATGTCAGATGCCTGACATGATGGTTAGTTGATTAATATAATGTTAGCAACAAACATTTCACAGCTCAACCAATGAGATCACAGATATAGATCTTTGATTACTACATGTATGTATGAACAATACTAAGTATACAAGTGCACAACAGTCATTCTACATGCCCCCATGTGTATAAGCAGTAATCTGGACCAGTGTGCGAAATAGTTTCCAAGTTTTGCTAGCCAGTCGGGCAAGCTATGCCTGAAAGATACTACCCCGAATTTGAATGCAGAAACAGGTTTCATCATTAAGCTGCTAATATGAACATTTTTATCAGGTCATTATCCTGCATGATTTAAAAGTGTATTATAACGTATCAAGTCGGAGAGAGTGATATTTTACAAGATGACCTAATGAAAATTCACAAGCCAGTCGGGCTAGTAAGTATGGATATTTACTGGCCCGACTGGATTTTTACTAGCCACAGGCTAGTGGGCCAGTGACTATTTTGCACACTGATCTGATCTGTGATCTATAGACTTTGAGTAAATCTGCACGATAGCCTGCATAATTCTGCATTATATGAGTTATAAGTATCTACTATTACTGCTATAAGAAAACACTGCCCACATTGTGGACACAAGTACTTACAGCTATATATGCTTGAAACAAACTCAAAATGTGTATTGCATCTAAACATTTAGATAATACCCATTTCCTTGGCCATGGATATTTGTAGAGAGAGAAACATTTCCTCTTCACACTTCTTACTTTCTCGCATATATTTCCTAAACCACAAGATGTGTTCCAGTTTAGCCTAGCTATCAACAGCATTCTCTTGAGTTTCATCTTACAACAAGTTCTCCATATTACACAAGTTGACCCATCACATGAAGCCCTTCACCTGAACATTGGATTAAGAATATACTCAGAAATGTGTTTTCCTTACATTACCCTTTCACTCACTGTTGGGGTACAGTATGGGGTATTCATAATTAACAATTACTTTTCTTGATAAAAAAGAATAGAGTCAGAATTGGAAATCATAGTGTCCATCTCAAAGAATGACCAACAATTGCCTGCTCTTGAAATGAGGTACATGTGACATGATTGTAAAACACATTTCTGTAATAAAATAAACACTGAGGTAAATACATCATTCAATCTGTTTTCCAAGTAATAATAATTCTCCCTCATGGACAGGCAGCCTGTCTCCCCTCATACTCTTTTTGGCAAACTATCATGAACACATTCTTCCTTAGCCAAGCTTAGTTCCAATAAACAGAACTATTTTCGCCATTATATATATACTTTCTCCAGAATGCTTAGAAAATGGATCTAATTTTACAAAATGTTTCGCCTATAGAGCCCCAAAGACTCCTAAAACTAATCCCCATAAGACGCATACCACTGCATTCAGCTGTCAGATTGCCTGAAACTTTGAAAGAACCCGGGGGTCACAATAAATAAGTTGGTTGTATCATTAACACTGAGCTGACAAATTAAGAACATAGGGCATATATTGTGAAACAAATACTAATGAATTATTATGAATAATTATCAATCTCCCGTTTCGCAATCAAGTAGATTCTAAACTGGGAGACTGCTTGAAATCAGATTGATATGTTTATCTAAATACATCTGTACATGATTCTAAGACCGTACACCATTGCTGTGGTGCGTATCTCCTATGTTTTCTTAATTATTTCCAACCATATCTTGCATATGTTTTATCCGTACATACGCCGATACGACCCTTATCTGGAGCCCTGAGATGTACACAGTATAGTCGAAGCAATGAGTAAACTGTCAACAACAGAGCAAGTTAAGGTGAAAGAAACTCTGATGCACAACAAAACATGATAAGCCTAATGATTGTCTGTGTTCCCCTGAAGATGTGATGTTAGTGTACAAATATGCTGGTGTTGACCTTCAGGTCCACCTTGCTGGGGTCAATCTCCCACTCCAGATAGTCGAAGTAGAGCTGGTACACCATGTCAGGGACTGGTCGATTCCGTGACAGTCGTTGAAGCATCTGTAATTAACAAGGTATTCAATATCAGTTCATACTTCAAATGAATCTCATTATATTGTCCTATTTTACATCATGTAGAAGATAAAGTAAATTATTTTTCACAGACAACCTTGCTGTCATTTATCAACATCTTATATCTAAACATTTTTACCCTGAAAACAACATAATCCTGAAGTTTGGTTGTCACACATTTCAAGAATCTGTGCAACAGATGCCCTTTCATGTTTCACTATCCATAATCAGTTGTGTGGATAAAAAATTTCTACTGCCCTATCACCAATGTGCTGTACACCCTGTGTTGTTGATCCATATTAAAGCTTGTGAAGATCTAATGGACTGTCACAGTCATGGGCTCTGGTCATGGTCACAGTCTGACAACAATGGAATGCTTATGTTGGTAATGCTTGTGGTGTCTGTGGCAGGAAACAGAAGCTCAATCAAGTCAACATGAACATACAAGGGGTTCAAACACTAACATGTCTCCACATGTATGAATCGAATCTAATACTAGATTTAGACTGAGGTATGACTTCTGAGTCCTGTCCAGTCTGGCCATACAGTTTCCAATCAACTCTATGCCAAGGTGAAGGACCAGGCTGAGGTTTTGCCATAATAGAAACCAAGTGTGTAACCATGGCTGTAGCAGGGTGCTACTGGGATTGTGTAGCCTGCAGTGAGTGATCTTCTATTCATGATGTTCTGACCATCAGTTAGTTACATGACTCTCAGCGTACATGCATTGACCAGGGAAAGTTTGAATCCGTGTTGGCTGGTGAGTAACAGGGGGGCTTTTCAAAGCTGGCTTGACAGCTTTATTCACACGAACCCACATTTCCATGTTTACTGGTATATTGTATTATCATGTAATCTTCATCAATGGACGGATGATCTGGCAGAAGCTGGTCTCTATAGCATATAGCTGAAAAAATGCCAATGTGATAATATATTTTCACTGGCAGGGGAAAATCATGCATTTCAAAAACATGCAATTAATATCTGTACTGTTTAGCCTGCAGCTCTCCTTGGTCTGGTTAATAACTTGCTAGATGTTCATAGTTGCCCGTCACTTAATGTCAGTGACTTAATACAGCCATAACTCCCAAAATTTTGAGTCACAATCTGACCTGTCCATTACCATGATTACCGTGTTGAGCTAGACTTCAGCATAGTCCACAGTCCAGTGGGGTCCAGTGGTGTCTGTGCAGTCCACGGTCCACAGGAGTCCTGTTGTGACTCACCTTGCATGAAGTATGGACATTGTTCTATCCATAGGATTTCTTCATCTAAGAAAGCAGTGAAAGTAGTGTAATAATTGGCTCTCTGGTGATGGTAGCTGAGACTGGCTACTTCTAATTAACCATGGCCATGCAGTTTCCAACAGTAACTGTTGCTTGGATGGCATCTGTAATGCATCCTCTTCATGATCATCTGTTAAGGTGGTGAGACACCTGTTTTCAGGCAACTGTTGTTACTTCATTAGCTGTTCAAATTCAGTATGAATGATTGTCATCAACAAGACCACAGATAGAGAACAGAGCTCCATTCATCTGTCCTCTGGGGTACAAAGTGAACCCTCTCACACACACAGGGTATAGCTGACAACAGAAAGGAAGACACCATCCATCCCACAACATGTCAACAAATAATCACTCATGATATCAATTAAATTAAATCAAACAAAATAAATAAGGTTCTAAGTATCCAACACAAATAACAGAAAATATGAATAATTAGAGGTGTAACAAACTACCAATATACTCAGAATTTAGGAAGAAGTGAAACTTTCTTAACTTCCATAGGATATTATCCACATGACTTATTATGGATAGCTAGTTGAATATATATATATGTGTGTGTTAATAGCCAAAATATTAGTTCATCACTACTAAATCACACCAATATATAGTTTCATAGAAAAAGGGAAATTTGAAAAATATGTGTGAAAATCCACCTACAAAAACGACCTACATTAATTATTGTTTCAGGTTAGTCCCTTCACTGAGTCCATCTGTACACAGGGGTGTGTCACTCTTAGAAAGAGCGTTAGAAAGACATATAGGTATATAGATCCTACCCTAGTACTATATAAAAGGAAAGGGATGTAATGACGGAACCAACCCCCCTCCTCAATCAAAGTTAGATTTCACCATGTAAACTATTTTTAAAGCCCTGTCGAGGCCTACGGATCGAAAGCGAGATGATTTCCCTACAAAATGAGCGATAAATGGTCACAATCGGATCATTATTTCAAAAGTTATATGCCACGACTCACCGAAAACAGCTACCTCCGCAATTCCAAGCCAAAATCATGGATCACCTAAGACAGCGTAAACTCACCTTTTAAGTTCGTTTATTAATTCCAGCCATGTTGACAGCACCTATGTAGGGCTAGATTCAATTGGCAGCGGCATTCCACGGGTCTAAAAAACTTATTGCAACATCTACAAATAATTTCCTCGACAGTAAGCAGGCATTTTCTCCAAAACCATCGCAATCATACTCACTTGTCGGCCATACATGGCCTTGACATTCAAGTGATCTGAGAAGATCCGCAGAAACTGAATTGGGCCATCCGATTGGTGGAAAATATAATATACTGTAAGATTTTGACTGTTTGCTAATGGGCTCGAAATATGAACTTTGCAATATTCCTTCTATTTTGGATGATGTACGGAACAGTAAATTGTTAAAGATTGCATATACTCTAGGGGGGTACAAATACATAAATCACTAACTGGCATCGCTATAAATGAAACCCTGTCATTAAAACTACTCACTTCGATCTTTAATCAACTTAAATCGACCTTTTTGACAACAGTGCACAATTCTCACCCGCGAACGAAATTTCAACCAATCAGAGCGGGGCGTCTCTGTGACGTCATATGAGGAATAGATATGAGGGCCGATGCAGAATTCATCTACATTTCAGGGGGTAAATTATCTTGTTTACAGGTTTGTATGAACCTGAAATCCTGACAACTGTTGTGGAAAATGAAAGCTATATGTTCTCACAATCTTCTGTCATATAATTTTGTCTCCTGCTTTGCCTAGTTTCCGAGTTACAACTTGTTTTCATAGACGATTCTGTCAAAATCGCTTGGCGTCGTTAGGCCTTATTTGTATAATGACTGATCCAAATTGATCCCATTTCTGTGTTTTTCTACCTCGATATTTAATCATGTCATGTAAAAATATGACGTCTATTACGCGTGATATTATAAATTGACATTTCATTTATTTGAATCGGTAAACTAAACAACCCTATTTTGCCATTGCTAGAAGAATCTGAAATTTTACTTAGGTAAATAGGTACATACAGTTTTAGCACACAGCAAATGCTTATATGTATTTCTTATGCAACAATGAAGTTCTGTTTGTATTCTCAAAACAGTTTCGGGCCCATAAGTTTTCACATGCAATTAAAATTGCATGCAATACAGCAATTAATACTCCCTCGTTGTAACCCGTGTTAGGTGGTATAAACCTACACGTTATTTGTCATCATTCACTTGATGGTCAGTTAATGAATTTATAACAGGTATAATTAGTGGTAACACCACTTAGATTACCCGACAAAGGTTCCCATTTGGCATTTCTTGTGTCTGGAGTAAATATTCAACATTATAAACATCGATCAAAGGATTAACCGATAACACGCTGATTGATTGATTACTTTTATCTTACACAGCGGATTTGTCAAAAGGTAGTGTTTATGTATGTAGATTTATTAATCTATACTGAATACACTCTGTCGTTGCTGTGTCTGCGTAAAAAACAACGTCCTTCCTTCAAAGGATTAACCGCTAATACAGTGATTGCTTGCTCATTATTGGCTAACTAAATTACCGTTTTTAAAGAATGTTGGACATTATGCAATCAGTTGCCAGGTGTGCTATCTTGGGTGACCAATGAGACTATACACCAATGTGAAATACCTGAAAAGATTTATCACTTTTTCGTATATTAAACTGTTAAAAGACACATCACTTGGAACAGCTGCAGATGAATGGCATATCACTCGGTTTTTTTATATTGATGGATACATTCCTCGAACAAGGTAATAGCCTGACATTGTTCCTATAAATTTATTCTGTTTTAATTTTAATATTTGCATTTTGTTTTTATTCATTTGTCGTAGCATTCAACAGAATTGTTGTTTTCGCCATGAAGTGTAATGAGACATACTAGGGTGTGTGTGCGAATTATGATTCACATTGGCAAACTATAAAATGTCCAGATATTACAGTCCTATTATAAATGCACTATAAGTATCAGCAGATCGTCTGCTTTTTATTTAGTTTCAAAATGCATACAAGTATGATAATAAACTAATTAGGATTATAAGACCAAATATAAAGACGTACATTGACTAGTATATACATACTGGTGAGTGGATGTTAACCACGTGAATGTAGCAAGAAAGTTATCGCGCAGTATTGTCACTTCGACCCCCCAGCTCGCTTCCGTGGAAGAAATCGCTTATGTTATAAGTTGTGTCATGCAAAATGCTTTTGGTTATGATTCAAATACATATTTAACTACTTGAGTAGAAAGTAGTTTTGATTTTCTAACTTGATGAAAACAAACCATTATCTCATTAATTCTAACAGACTTTAGCCCGTGACTTCACGATTTTCAAAAATGGCGGCTACTGTCGTCGAGAACATCAGCCAGTCTGAGTATAAATGTTATTTAGGTTTGTTTTCACCGAGTTACAAAATCAAAACTACTTTCTACTGGTAGTAAAATATGTATTTGATTGATGGTCAATAGGATTTTGCATGACATAGCGTATAACATAACAATTTATCTCGTGGAAGCGAGGTGGGTGTCAATATAATACTACTTACAGTATTATTGTTACTTCAACAACAACCTCGCTTCTGAGGCAGAAATCGTTATGTTACAAGTTGTGTCATGGAAAATCTTTATGGTCATCAATCATATACATATTTTACTACGACTAGTAAGTAGTTTTGATTCTTTAACTTCCGTGAAGCGATCTGAACACAAGTAAGATATCGTTTCAGGCTTCCACAACGCTCGCTTCGCACTCACAAACATAGCCCATTTAGCACGAACTGTGGGGTCCTGTGGAAATCTGTGCATGGCGACACCATTGCCCGACCTCTAGGAGCAATTGACGACAACGCAACGATTTGGCATGTCTTCGTTGATGTCGAGAAATCATCAAACTGACGAGCTTGCTACACACTTTCTATACAACTAACTGAAAATCCTTCCTCATATGACGTCAATGCAGTGCTCTGGCGACAGAGTTACGTAACCTGTCTGTGGTTTCGTTGGCGGGCGAGAGTGAAGCAGGCGACTTTTTGGCAACTTTTAATCGCTCGGTACTAATTAACCACAAGTTTTTAAAGAATGAATTTGGTGTTCCCCATAAGACTGACCACAAATCTTTCATATGTAATAGTTAAAAGAGTAAACAAAAACAAAGTTTATTTGTTCTTTAAGAATATTTTTAGAAGTTGTAAAAATGCTTTTGATATTGATTCATTTTTAGGAAATTATATTTATAAATATTTAACCTCTAAAATTATTCTTAACAATTTACTGCTCAGGTCACTTAAATGTCAAGGCCATCTATGGAGGACAAGTGGGTATGATCGCCGATAGTTTTGGAGACAATGCCTGCTTACTGTCGAGGAAATGATTTGTAGATGTTGCAATAAGTTTTTAGACCCGTGGAATGGCGCTGCCGATCGAATCTAGCCCTACTATGGGTGCTGTCAACATGGCTGGAATTAATAAACAAATTTAACAGGTGAGTTTTCGCTGTCTTGGGTGATCCATGATTTTGGCTTGGAATTGCGGAGGTAGCTGTTTTCGTTGAGTCGTGTCGTATAACTTTTGAAATAATGATCCAATTGTGACCATTTATCGCTCATTTTGTAAGGAAATTATGTCCGTAGGCCTCGACGGGGCCTTAAAAATAGTTTATGTGGTGAAATCTAACTTTGATGAGGAGGGGGCGGTTACGTTGTTACATCCCTTTCCTTTTATATAGTACTAGGGTAGGGTCTATATACCTATATGTCTTGCTAACGCTCTTTCTAAGCGTGACACGCCCCTGTGCATCTGTATACATGTCATGTGCACTAATTATTTCAGGTTAGTCCCTTCATTGTGTTTACCTGTATACATGACAAGTGCACTAATTGTTTCAGGTTCGTCCCTTCATTGTGTTTACCTGTATACATGTCATGTGCACTAATTATTTCAGGTTAGTCCCTTCATTGTGTTTACCTGTATACATGACAAGTGCACTAATTGTTTCAGGTTAGTCCCTTCATTGTGTTTACCTGTATACATGACAAGTGCACTAATTGTTTCAGGTTAGTCCCTTCATTGTGTTTACCTGTATACATGACAAGTGCACTAATTGTTTCAGGTTAGTCCCTTCATTGTGTTTACCTGTATACATGACAAGTGCACTAATTGTTTCAGGTTAGTCCCTTCATTGTGTTTACCTGTATACATGACAAGTGCACTAATTGTTTCAGTTTTAGTCCCTTCATGATTGTTTCAGTTTAGTCCTTGTGTTTACCTGTATACATGACAAGTGCACTAATTGTTTCCAGGTTAGTCCCTTCATTGTGTTTACCTGTATACATGACAAGTGCACTAATTGTTTCAGTTTAGTCCCTTCATTGTGTTTACCTGTATACATGACAAGTGCCCTAATTGTTTCCCTTCAGTTAGTCCCTTCATTGTGTTTACCTGTATACATGACAAGTGCACTAATTGACAAGTTTCAGGTTAGTCCCTTCATTGTGTTTACCTGTATACATGACAAGTGCACTAATTGTTTCAGGTTAGTCCCTTCATTGTGTTTACCTGTATACATGACAAGTGCACTAATTGTTTCAGGTTCGTCCCTTCATTGTGTTTACCTGTATACATGACAAGTGCACTAATTGTTTCAGGTTAGTCCCTTCATTGTGTTTACCTGTATACATGACAAGTGCACTAATTGTTTCAAGTTAGTCCCTTCATTGTGTTTACCTGTATACATGACAAGTGCACTAATTGTTTCAGGTTAGTCCCTTCATTGTGTTTACCTGTATACATGACAAGTGCACTAATTGTTTCAGGTTCGTCCCTTCATTGTGTTTACCTGTATACATGACAAGTGCACTAATTGTTTCAGGTTCGTCCCTTCATTGTGTTTACCTGTATACATGACAAGTGCACTAATTGTTTCAGGTTCGTCCCTTCATTGTGTTTACCTGTATACATGACAAGTGCACTAATTGTTTCAGGTTAGTCCCTTCATTGTGTTTACCTGTATACATGTCATGTGCACTACCGGTAATTGTTTCAGGTTAGTCCCTTCATTGTGTTTACCTGTATACATGTCATGTGCACTAATTGTTTCAGTCTGGTCGCTTCATTGTGTTCATTGGTATACATGTCAAGTGCACTTTCAGTTTGCTTCCTTCGTCATATCTGTTATATGTTCATGACATAATCACACAACTCATAGTAAGACTACACAGGAAAGTTTCTACCTCATGATTGGGAGCACAGTGGCTGAAGACCTTTTTGAATCATGAAATATGATAAATTTGGTTAATTTGCCCTGGTTTCATTAAACTGTTTTCAGAATACTTTAGGCCTAGTCCTTCATAATGGATTGTGGTTTTCACAGAAGCTAACTGTTTCTATCCATATGCACACAAACTGAATGACAAATTAATATGAACTGCACGTTCAGATGGTCTATGTCTGACAAAGTGTCCCAAACATGCAGATTAGACCTGTTCTGATAATGAGTTCTCATATAATCTCAATATGTTCTGCGTATGTGAGCATAAATGCTGATGAGAGCAATAATATAACAGTATATTACCTGGTAAGACTGCCATGCCATGTTAGCTTGTACTAAAAAGAGTCCTATGAAAAGGCTGAAGCTAAAGATGGCAAGAAATTGGAAAAGCCCATCATTAAACCTGGAAATAAAAATCAGAAATGAGTGTTAACAAATGATAAAATCGTTACCTATGTGAAAATTGATTTGTCTCAAAACATTTGCAGAATTAAAGGTGCAAAACTGAAGCAGAGATAGAACAAGTAAATCATGCAACACATTAAAGAAGCTGATTAGCCATGTCTTTGCATTATTACTCTACAAGGATTCATCATGTTTAGTGCATAAAGGACCATTTTTGGCTGAGCTTACTTCATCATGTTAATGGAAAGATCTTACTCAACTGAGGCTTTAATCCTCTCAGTGCTGACGTTGTACCCATTCAACAGGAGTGTAGCATAATGACTTTCCCAAACTTGCAATAACTACCAAGTAGAATTTATAACTATCAAGTAGGACTTACATGTCATTTGAATTCCAGGTATGTATGGGATGCACAAATGCTATATCTAAATTAGGGCTGCGCAATATAACCGGTTCAGACATGAAAACGATACGTATTGCGATACGTTGATCGAAAACCGGTATTTTGACATGCATTCGGAAAACTTGGTAACACTCGGAAATCTTCGGATATTTCCGTTTTTTACACTGTAAGTCATGCGTAGTTTTTATTAAAGCTTAATCAGGCATAGTGATTTTGTTGTGTTTTTGCTTTATAAATCAAGCATTAACTTCCTGCAATTTATTGCAATACATATCGCAATACATGCTTTCGCATCGCAATATATCGCAATATGAAAATTCTCTGCAATACCCACCCCTAATCTAAATATATAAACTTTAAGTAGTTTATGTATCTTATACTATCCTTATAAGATTATAATTTGTTTACAACTGAAAAGAGTCAAATGTGAAACTAAAGAGCATTGGATTGCTGCTAAAATAATCTATGAACAAGATAAACAATAATAAGAAGAGCATATTTTGCTCTGTATGGGTCTCAAGCATTAACTTCCTGCAATTTATTGCAATACATATCGCAATACATGCTTTCGCATCTCAATATATCGCAATATGAAAATTCTCTGCAATACCCACCCCTAATCTAAATATATAAACTTTAAGTAGTTTATGTATCTTATACTATCCTTATAAGATTATAATTTGTTTACAACTGAAAAGAGTCAAATGTGAAACTAAAGAGCATTGGATTGCTGCTAAAATAATCTATGAACAAGATAAACAATAATAAGAAGAGCATATTTTGCTCTGTATGGGTCACCATGTGACCCATTCATCATCCTTCCCTCTTCATCATCTGCGTCACAGGAGTATATACATTTTGTCAGAAATCACAAAGTGGGCTTGATTCCCATCACAGTACCATTATTGTAAAAACATGTGGTTTGGGAAAGGTGCTTTCAGCATAAGCTTGATGACTTTGATCGAGGTGGAATGGATATTTACTACTACTGGTATTTGTTTGTAATCTGTCAGAATTGGAGGAAAAGTTGATCCTGTATCTTGCTCACATCCCAAAACACCAAACAATGTAGTTCAGCTGGCTGAACTCCAAATAATGGAGCTAGTATATAATATGTTTACCAAACTTTTTCAACCCAGTAATCCAAGGGCAAAGGATTGGCCTATCTGTATGTTATTGAATGGCAACGTGAATCTACAGACTACAATCGCTAAATCCGATGTTGCATAACGCATGAGTGCAGTAACACTGAAGGGGTATTTGTCGGCACGGGTACTACAGATATGTACCCCAGGTACATTTCTGTATACAGAAACGTACCTTGGCCATAATGAGAATACAGAAAGGTACCCTAGGACGATTCCATTCCCATTGTGTCGTATTCTTGACTGGAACTGTCATACTGTTGTATTAGATACATTTGATTGCGTTATGTAAGTAATGATAATACACAGTAACGGATATTTTGCGATGCACTCGAATACCACTTGGAGTCAGTTGAACGGCAACAACTACATATGGTTTCGTTTTTTAATTGCGGAATATGGACTCGTCCGCCTTTTAGGGTACCGGGTACGTTTCTGTATTTTGACTTTGTTTATGTAGCGGCCATAAAGTTTCCGAGTCCCGTGCTGGGATTTGAACCACGGACCTTCTGATCAGTAGTCGGACGCCTTGTCCACATGACCAAAGAGGTTAACCCTGTCAGCAAGCTGACAAGGTAAGGATGTCATCTGTGGGATGACTCCACGCCCTGCCACGGCCTACCTTTAGAATACAGCACCACAAACTTTAAAAATACGTCATAATACCCTTTTACGTAATGTAATGTGATTTTGTTCCAATGCCCTATGACGCCTGCATGGCAACACGGTTGTCCGGCTCAGCGAGTGCGTATAAGCTCCGCTCACTGGTGTTTCATCTCTACGAGCTAAGTCATTGCATAAGCCCAACGATGTTGAGAGTTTCCAGTAGTTGTATACCGGTGGATGCGCAATATTTTGCAAGCACCAGTTTGAAATATTTTTCTTTTTTCACTAATACGCTCATATTTCTTTGTATTAGGGGCTGCTGAGGTGTTATGTTTTGTGTATTTTGTAATTTTTTAAATTTACATATATATCTTTGTCATTCAGTAATTTGCACCATTACATAGAAATGTGTTTTATTAGTATTTTATTTTTCGAAGCGGTAATAATGCATTACACTAGACACGTCAGTCGTGTTTGTGCCGGTTCGGTCAATGCATTCTATTTATTAGGATTATTTCAAGGGGTTAGGGTTAGGGCTGAGGGTTTAGGGTTAGGGACCTAATCCAATATAGTAGGTACATGTCCGGTGTAATACGTGAGTACCATTTGTTGTTTTTCCTTTTTGCATTTTAATACTTTTTTTTCACACAAAAACGGAAAACCAAAAACGTCGAAAGTACATTATGAAATTGGTTAATGTAGAAAATTTGGGCTTATGGAAATTGGCCTGGAATTTGCACTCAAGCCTCTTTCACACGCAACATAAATTTTGTAAAGTAATGATTCGAAGGCTAACTCACCCTCGTGTCACTACATATGCTCATGTCTCCCTCGTTCCTTAGTGCAATCCACATTATCCTTACAGTGTTCCCAACATCACTTTTCTGTCACAAAATCACTGATTTATAAAAAAGCGCGTCATTCATGCATGCACTGTGAAATCTACGTCTGACGTCAACAACCCTTTTCAGTTTGAGGCATATCGGCTCATTCCACGCCACACATTAATTTGTAGATTACAGAATGGGACAAGTGTGCCAAATGGCATCGGATCCATTCGGCAATAGTCCGTAGAATAAAATCACGAGACACCAAGTCTACCCGGAGCATTCGTAATTGTCCGTGACCTATTCGACTCTTTCCGTTCATTTCCGTGACGTCACAGGAATGACTCGATAAATTTGCACATTGTGCAACAGTGTGGACGTAGCTCAGTCGGTTAGCTGTCGAGCTAACAATCCGAAGGTCGCGGGTTTGTGTCCGACAGGTTCTCACAAACTGGTTGCTTGTCTTAATGACACGTGACCTACCGCAGAGATCATCCTCACGAGAAGTTGTGGTGCTGTATTCTAAAGGTGCTCCCTACATACTCCCCCGTCAACAGAAGGCACGTCCCGTGCCGCATAGTTGGGTACTGAGACTTATTTTGCTCAAATTTGATATGAACGTGCTCAGCCCCATGTTGGGCACCAATGTAGCGGCCATAAAATTTCCGAGTCCTGTGCTGGGATTCGAACCACGGACCTTCTGATCCGAAATCGGACGCCTTGTCCGCATGACCAAAGAGGTTAACCCCGTCAGCAAGCTGACAAGGTAAGGATGTAATCTGTGGGATGACTCCACGCCCTGCTACATTTAGGGTACATATCTGTATACAGAAACGTACCTGGGGTACGTAATTGTAGTACCTGTGCCGACAACGACCCCTTCAGCTGCAGTAACACCAACCACTACAATCTTGTTCATTATTTTTCATGAAAGAAATGCGATTCATTTACAACAGTGTACAGTTCGTAAATCACTAAGTAAACGCAACAGCTGATTCTTTTTAGATCAGTAGCAGATAGATGAGACCATGAAGAAACAAACGTACGGTGGAATACGGATGATTCCCAGCTTGTGGCTTTCACCGACTGAAGTGTGCAATACCCAGTCTTTCATATCGTCAACATCTGGGTCATCGCCAGAAGGCATCATTGTTAGGTGTACTGTAGAACCGACGATCACAGCTGATCCGTGTAGACTTGATGACAATTATCATGCCAGTGAATATGAATTTAAGGGTGTTGCTTTCAACCAAAGGCCAGCAGAAAATGTCTTCGCTCTCAGACCGGAAATTACATTTTCAGTGTCGGAGGTGAAAAAGTTCGTCACGATTAAAAATTGCGATCAAAAGATCGAAATCGGATTCGGAAAGTATTTGTCATAAAAATTAGACGGGTGTTTGAAACTCACGTAAGTAATAGTTCAAATCAAAGCGGTTGAGGTTGTTATTGTTATTGTTAATCATTTTCGATTTGTAATAGGTGTTCACTGACTTTTGATGTGATTTCCAATCTTGCATACTCGTATCCTAGACTAGCTCTTAGTCTCTACAGTAAATATATATAATTTTGGTAATAACAAACAAATCCATTTAAATTGGAAGGGAGCCCAAAGTATCCTTGTGTCATGTAAGTTCGATCACTTAAGAACTGTCGCTGAATTTTCAAAGTTATATTCATATAATCTTTTTTTCAAATATCTTACCTCTAAACTTGTTTATTTATGTCAAACATTTCCAAACTCCAGGTATTTTTACTGCTTTTCCCAATCGCGGCATGGCCGCCCCCCTCACTGTCAACACAAGTGACCCAGAAATCTACGTCACATAAGTTCGATCATATGATTGGCTGGCTTGTCGCGTAAACAGGATGACTTGTAAGGACGATCTCTTGTGTCAAATTCAGAGCTAGAGCAGCCCCAAGTTATTTTATGATATTTATGTCCATGAAACGTTCATTTTATGTTTCAATACTTCTAAAAACGATGAAAAGTCACAAATATTCAGCTTATATAGAAGTATTATGCAGGAAATTATTCTTCAGGCTCATCGTGACGGGCATCAAACCTCAGAATGTCGACAAACACCACGAACTGGCTTGCAAAATCGTAAATGTGTTCTGTGCTGACATGTAGGTTGGGTACATTGTGCCCAGGTTTTATTTATCAATGAGGCAATAGCTCCAACATCATCAGGTACAAATTGACGGAAATTCTCAAAAAAGCATTAGGTTTTCTATAAGAAATGGCCCTTACTTGTTTCCAAAGTTTTAAATTTTGACAAGGATATCACGTGTCTGGACATGTCACAATTAGACCAGCAACGTAAACAAACAGAAGACAGGTGTGCTGTCAATTTACAACTTGTGAAATAAATACTGTTTACATTTTATTGGAGCTGATAAAGTTACATTATTGATCTAGGGTTAAAAAGTAGTTGTTTGCTGAATATGAGCTATAACTTACGTTTGGTAACTTGGTCCAAACGAATAAAAGTGGTGTCACCAGAAGATCAAAGCTGCAGATATCGTTTATCGCTACGTCGACAATTACCATTAAAATGGGCGATCGAAGTCATGACGATCGAACTTATGATACTTGACGATACTTTAAAACACATTCCTTTGGCTACTTACTCTTAGAAATACGTTTCCCCGAAGCAAACTGAAAACAAGCTATTACATAATATGAAAAAACATCCTGCTGGGCAAAAGACAATGCACACCCATGTTTGATGGTGGTAGCCCGGAATGAAATTAACTAAAAATGGATTATCTGATGGTGCTGTAAGGTCCTGTCTGAAAATGGTACATCGTGGACAAGACGTTTGCATTGCAGCTATTGTGTTATCTTCGTCAGAAACACGGAAAGAAGTGTTTGCTGTAGTGGTGTAATTGTTGATGGCAGATGAGAAGTGCATGTTGTTGGGGTGTTTATATATATATATATCCCACTACGAGCTGAATTCGACGTGTGCGATCGGGGTGCACAAACAGTTTCATTGGTAGGGCGGGTGCCCAGTCGCTGTCGTGAGAAGTTTTATTGACAATGGAAATCGGGAAGTAAAGTTATATAAAAAGCAAACAAACATCAATATTATTTACTCGAGATCGTTAATACCACTTCAGATGCAAAATCAGTTGTCTATATAACAAAAAATAGAAAGCGAAAATTCAGTTAGATCAGTCGTCTGCTGGTGACAGGCCACGTGATCACAACACTACCTCGCAGTGCGGAGCAAAAAGTATGGCTCATCGTCGAAAACCCATACAAAATACCCGCATGTTACGAGCGGCAACAGTTTCGCCGATACGATGCCATCAACACTATATTTGTAGGGAACACTTGATAGTTTTATGTGAAATAGATGAATATATCCTTTATCACTCAACGTTAGTAAAATAAAAACTTTAAATGATATTACAGATAAAAAATACGTTTTTGCCTTACATCGTCGAAAACCCCTGACACCGGGATACTTTATGGATATTGGTCATCTTTGGCATAAATTTACACTAACCCCCGATTGAGAGCATTATACTCCAGACTGTTTTAGCACTTATTACATTAAAAGAATCGCACAATGTCAGTCATTACCTCTTCTTAGAAACGTTAGAAACCGGCTGCTCTGACTTTAAAAATGGATGGAGGCAGATTTATCCCCTTTGGCCTGTCGAGTGCTTTCAAGTCTCCGAGCTTTGGATATTTCCCTGCTGTTGGAATTCATTCTTCATCTGCAGCAGCAACTGCAGAGGTGAGATTGGGGCCATTCAGTCTTCACATGGTCTCATGATTTGGGTGTTGCCCTAATGCGATAGCTAGTCTACCTATGTCCCCAAGTATCACCATGGATCGTGACAATGTGAGGCAATGTGTTAGTAGCTATTGTGAGATCTTATAAACTCCCATGTGTTGTGAACATGGTGGTGGCGTGTGAGACTGCACTGTTTTCCAGATATCCAATATAAAATCTGTTGGCATTAAAGTCACCCAGTATTATCCTATTTTTGTATACTGTTTGTGACATTAGTGTTTCCGTGTCTATTTCAAGGTTAACCCTGTGGTATAAGGTAGCTGGGCGTGATCCATTGCCATTTGTACTTAGTTCGATGGACATGGATGATAAGTATTTCTTCATTGTTACCAGGAACAAGTCTGTTCTGTTTCTGTCTGTTCTATGTTGGGATTCTATAGCCCCGTTGCATTGATCGATATTCATAGTTTCAATCACTGTATTATCTGACGACACAGACTCGAATATGTAAAGACTGCGTTCATATCGTACTGCTGAAGTGTTAAAAAAGAAACAAACCTAACCTGTAAACTTCCACACACTTGAACATTTCGGACTTCTGACATGGTGAAGTATATGAAGAGGGGTCCTTATTTAATTAATAGATAACGTAACAATGTGCAGACCACATCTAATAACTTCTCAAATAGTTGATATTCAGATCACTGGTGTCATGAAAAACACTTGAGTTTCCTGTGATCTAAATTCAAAATGACCCAAAACCTAAAGCAGAGTCGATTGTACGATTCCCATGAACATAACAAACGTGTGTTCATGAATCACTATGAAGTGATGATCTGACCATGTAGGTGTTCGGCAAAAGTCATCACATCCTGCCCCACATACACAAGCAAGTCAAGTGTTCACCTGAAGGAACACGGGCACATTTGGTTCCAATAGGGAATTACGCCAAACATGCTAATATCCTTTACTGGTGGTTTGCATGCGTGTTGTAATCTTGATCAACATAGTAACGTGCGATGAGTGTGAGTTACATGCACATGTTACGTGGAATGTGATTCTCAGTAAATCAATGCACTGCCTGCCCAACTTTGTCATATCATTGTGTGCTGGCCACTAGCTATATTTGTGAATGCTGCGGCGGTGAATAAGCGATCGGATAATATTCGTATAGAAATATTTTAGTTATACGTAACTTCAAGTTCGAACACGAGGGCTGACGTGCACACGTGCTGATGTTGCGGTGCCGATTATGACGTCATGAAATATATGAGGTCATACCGATTGTGATGTTACTTGAATCAAGTTGACTACATGACAGGTTCATGAGGGACGATGAAATCCAAATGTCTTCGAATTATTTTGTTTACAGTACAAAAAACCTGTTGAAAGAGCTGAAAAACATTTTCTCAGGAAACGTACCGGTTTCTTTTGCAAGAGTGATGGGTACCGAGGTTTATAACGAATCATCCGGATTGCTGATAGGTATGACCTCTATACACTGTATATGTATCAACCATATTGTGTTTATCCATGAGATTGCTATATATTTGTTTTTGTTTGCTTGTTATTTCACGCTGCACTTAGCAATATTCCAGCTATATGACGGCGGTCTGTAAATAATCGAGTCTGGACCAGACATTCAACTGAATCAACCAAATCAGCGAGCCTGACCACTCGATCCCGGCTCGTCTCACAAACAGAAACAGTTTACTTCAGTTTCTGCTGAAGACCAATTCTAAACCTATAAGAAAGTAAGATTGTTTATGGATAACAACTTTATGATGCATCATATATAATAAAAGAAGTTGTTCTCCATAAACAATCTTACTTTCTTATTAGTCACCAACGTCTAAATGCCAATCAAACAGATCAATTCTAAACCTAATCTTCACCTATATGGTGAGTTATACATGTCTCTGTAAGATATACGAGGGGCGTTCAAAAAGTAGTCAGCCTCACCTAGAAAATGATACAAATGCAGCTGTTTTTATGTTATATTTTTCTACATATTATCTGTCAACTGAAGCAAATTGGTTTTGCCATGTTGCAGCTTTACGATCCCTATTATGTTTGACTTTTTTCATCTTGAATATCTGGACACAATGCTTTTGAAAGATTAAAATGCTTTTGAAAGCTTAAAATGGGTGTGTCCTTAAAAAACAACCCCCGTCTAAATATAAATCAAGCAATTCAATTCTTTGAATGTTGATTATGACGGGAAGTCGTCCAATACTACACTGAACATATTTTATATGATATTATCTGAGAGCATACCATTATCCAAGAGATACCGAATGACAGATCAGTTTTCATTTTCTACACTTTTATAAGAAATTATACCCCAATGTGTTGTGATGACTAATATCCCCCGAAAAGACCACATTGAAATTAATATTTTGCAATGGCAGAGCCAAGGTGGGGTTCAGGGGGTTCGAACCCCTTAAACACCCCACCCACCCCTTGAAAATATCTGGATCCGCCTATGGATATGGCTTTGCTAATGATTCCTTTCAAAATATAATGGACATCGAGAATATAGTTAAGCTAACTACTTTTTGAACGCCCCTCTTATGTAGCAGGGCGTGATGTCATCCAACAGTTGACATACATTCCTTTTTTAGCTTGTTGACGGGTAACCTATCTAGTCTTGAGACCAAGGTGTCCTACTTCGGAAGGTCCGTTGTTTGAATCCCAATTATACGGGACGCGAAACTTTTATGGCCATTACACATATATACAATGTGCATACAAATTGGTAAATCAAACATAAAAAGATTGGGGTTCGAACACCCGTTTTGAAAAAAACATGCTGCCCCCTGGGATATTCACACATGTTGGTATTTTTTCAGTATCTTCAGCCATATCATTGTCTGATTTGATCCCAATCTGACATGCCTGGATAAATCTAAACGGGAGTATTTCATCGTCTGCATTGGCGGAACCAAGGAAGGGGTGGGGAGGGTGTGTGTTCAGGGGTTCTCTCCCTTCCCCTCACATATCCCCCACCCCACCCCACACACACACACACACACACTAAATGACTAACACAGCATTGGCCCCTCTCTTGGATCCGCGGATGGTCTATTGTTTGCACTCAATATTTAAATGTAAAATTGTGACCCAGAGTGCACCACTCCGCTCTCCAACGTTACAGCTCAACAGTCACTGACACTCACTGGATAATAAACGTCCTCGTTCGCAAAGTTGACTGACATAGTCTCTGAAAAAAGAGGAATTTTGTTAGAACAAGCAGCTGCATATGTACATTGAAATGAGTCACGGATATAGGTGTGCACCAACGGAAGATCCAGACTTGCTTCATTTAGTTATTTCAGTAAGGACAGCAGGGCAAACGTAATGTGATATGGTAAATAGGGGCTGTGAGAGGTAGAGTGGTTCTCAAGCAAACACAGCGGAAAACCCAAGCTATGATTGGCTCGAACCGTCACTGTGCTAATTTCCGCGAAAATGTCCGATCCTACTTTCTGTGGCAACCTCTAATCATATGGGCAGAATGTCTGCGGTTAATAGTGTGCAGGTGAATTACGGCAATGATTATCGTGGCAACGGCGAAAGAAATGGAATTATACAGGCTCTGCTTACGGGTAAATACATTCTTACCACCCATGGAACTGTTGCTTATGTTCAAGGACGGTGTCACTTGGGATTAGAATTATGAGGTTGCCAGTGATTATCGTCCCGGTGGCTGCTCGGACTGCTGGCGATGTTCATCTCGAGTGGAGAGCCTGTTGCCAATGTCACTGACAGTAATGTCTATAACAACTACTGGCGTGTCACTCGGAATAACCTCCCGTGGACATAGTTTCCCATAGTTGTAAGACGGCGGCGTGTCAAAAAAATACATAAGGATATCATCCGAAAGTAGACATTTAGATTTAGAAGAATTGAATATAAGTCATGGTTAACTCGAAAAATCACTTTATATCTAGTTTTACTTTCATTTCCATATATTTGCACCAACGTGAATTGTTCAGTTGGCTAATGGTTAGTCAACAATGAGAGTAGGAAATACTTATAGTGTGTTAATATTATTGCCTGTTTTAATTTGCCATGATTCACTTCACTTCAGCATATATTTGTCTTACCGTTAACCAGGAATATAATGTAGTAAATTTGGGGTTTGTTTAAAAATATGAAGAGAATGCCTCTCTGACAAGTTGATATAATTTTAGTCACTATCAACATAATTAGTAAGAATTCCTTATATTTATAAAATATGAACTAAATTGCATAGGCGGATCCAGTGTGTGTGTGCGTGCGTGAGTGAGTGCATGTGCAGCCGCCCCTGCCCCCAAACCACACACACACACACTTTTCCTGAAAGTTTATTAAGTGACCATTGAAATGTCATCAGCCGGCCGTTTCGGCTGTCTCCCACGGTAGCATCGGGAACTGCTCATTTGTGACATCATTCGGACTTTACGTCACAATATGATTTGAATGACGTCACCACTGCTGACGATGTAACAATACAATGGTGTGTGTGATGTTTGTACGTATTAATACACAGGGAATGAATGGTCTTGCAATTTCCGGGAATCAATTACCATTCGATCATGTTTTTCAACCAATCAGATTAAAGAACACAGTGACTTTTGGTTTACAATCAGAAATGAGTCTTCACATTTTTGCGCACAGAGTAGTCATAGTTCTGAAAGTATGATTGGTTGGTTGGTTTGTTGTTTAACAGTGCACTCAGCAATATTCCAGCTATATGGTGGCAGTCTTTTAATAATCAAGTCTGGAACAGACAATCCAGTGATCAACAGCATGAGCATCGACCTACACAATTGGGATAAGATGACGTGTGTCAACCAAGTCAGTGAGGCTGACCACCCAATCCTGTTAGTCACCTCTTTCGACAAGCATACTAAGATCAATTTCTGAAAGTAAGAACGAGGTTTCTTCTTAAAATGACTCTGGTATCCCAAAATCACTACCATCCAGTTTTGTTAGTAAGTATGATGGGTATCAGCCTGAATTTCATTTTGTAGTTTATTGGAATATTGATTCAGTCATGTATTATGGGACAACAATATATTAAATGCACCTTCATCTTTAATAGGTCGGAACCTGAATTGAAAAAAACATTTTCACAACTTTGTATTTGTTGGATGTTGCTATGTCACAATGGATAAAGTAATCGACACATAATATACAGGAAACATGTTTTTCATCTCAGAAAACAGTTGTCTGTTTCAGACTGTTTTTATTTCAATTTGACTTTTTGAGCAAAATAAAGATATACATAATGTTTAAAAATGCAATGTGGCAGTAGTTTCCAAACATATTGTATGAATTGGAATATCTTAAGAACCGTAGACTAGACTCTTTTCATATTTGGTACCTAAGTTCATCACAGTATGAGAAAGGTCCAAGTCAGGTTTGGTGATCTTTACCTTCATTTCAAGGTCACAAGGGGACTTTAACGTTTTACCCTTGTTAGCAAGATATCTCGAGAACTGGATTTTCTTCATATTCGACACCAAGCTTTATCCAGGGAAGGTGCAGGGCCCAGTCGATTTTGGTGACCTTCACATAATTTTCAAGGTCACGGCGACATTTGAAGATTTCAGAATGTTAACCTGCATGTTATGCTTGTCAGTGACACACCTCAAGAACCGTTGACTGTATTTTCTGCATATTCGACACCAAGCTTCATTTAGGGAAGGCGCAGCGCCCAGTCAATTTTGGTGACCTTCACATAATTTTCAAGGTCACGGCGACATTTGAAGATTTCAGAATGTTAACCTGCATGTTATGCTTGTCAGTGACACACCTCAAGAACCGTTGACTGTATTTTCTGCATATTCGACACCAAGCTTCATTTAGGGAAGGCGCAGCGCCCAGTCAATTTTGGTGACCTTCACATAATTTTCAAGGTCATGGCGACATTTGAAGGTTTCCGCATGTTAACCTGCATTTTAAGATTGTCAGCAAGAAGACTCTTATACACTGTCACATGCAGACAATGGTCCTTGTGTAGTACACCCTATATACCATCACTGGCAAACAATGGTCCTTGTGTAGAACACCCTATATACCATCACTGGCAAACAAAGGTCCTTGTGTAGAACACCCTATATACCATCACTGGCAAACAATGGTCCTTGTTTTGAACCCTTATACACTGCCACATGCAGACAATGGTCCTTGTGTAGAACTCATATACTGCCACATGCGGACAGTGGTCCTTGTGTAGAACTCTTATATACTGCCACATGCAGACAATGGTCCTTGTGTAGAACTCGTATATACTGCCACATGCAGACAATGGTCCTTGTGTAGAACTCTTATATACTGCCACATGCAGACAATGGTCCTTGTGTCGAACCCTTATACACTGTCACATGCAGACAATGGTCATTGCCTATAACTCTTATTCATTGTTATATACAGACAGTGGTCCTTGTGTAGGGGGACTGAGTGTATATACACATGTGTATATGTTGTGGTAGGTACAGTGTGTCTATGTGTACTCAATAGTAGGTATAGTGAGTGTAGGTGTACTCAGTTGTAGATAAAGTGAAGTAAAAGTAATCTCTCCAACTCTCTTGCAGACCTGTACCAGATCACAATGGCCTACGCGTACTGGAAGAGTGGAAAGATGAATGATAAATCTACGTTTGACCTGTACTTCAGGAAGAATCCCTTCAAGGGAGAGTTCACAGTGTTTGCTGGATTGGAAGAATGTATCAAGTTTATTCAGAACTTCCATTTCTCTGACAGTGGTAAGTAACATACTGATGTCACTGTTTGGACAGGTTGTTTTTAAGGCATGTCAGGGATGGAAATGTAGTTTGTTCAAGTGAGTCACTGAACACTGGTGTCCCCTATGGAATTCAAAGGTGCCCACCAGGACAAGACTTCACTGTGAAAGAGGAAATAGGTTCATTGAGCATGTTTAGTATACAGGGTGTTTTCCATTTCTCTGTCCAGTTTACCTGACCAGTGTACATTTCCCACCTGCTGCAGCCGTTAATGGATTGGCGGCTTATATTAACAGTGCTGTTAAGATCTTAACCATGCAACTGGTCCTTTAGTATCTTCTAGATTATGACAGCAGTGTTTGAAATTAATGCTGGAATCTAGGCGCACTTTGTCATGCCCTTTATGACAAAACTACAGGTTTAGGAGATCCCTACATTAAAACAGTTAAGTGTAGAACCTCAAGGACACGAGGATTCCCATATCACTGTGACTGTTTTATGAATGACAATTTCCACATGTTCTATTTTCATAAGTCAAAATACCAGAAACTGAGCCTTAATAGGTGCTAATGAAGAACCATTGATTAGTACCAGTAAGTGGTAATATTATGAAATTCAGCAGTCAAACACCCAAAATCTATTATAGTGCCTCTGTGATCCATGTTTCAGACATCTCCTACTTGAAGAGTGTGCTGTCCAAGGACATCGAGCCTGACTTCTACACATACCTCAAGAACCTGAACACAGACAATGTAGTCATGTATGCTATGGATGAAGGGACTGTGGTGTTTCCCAAAGTCCCGCTTCTTGTTGTGCAAGGACCTCTGCCTGTAGTACAACTGATGGAAACACCATTGCTCAACCTTGTAAATTATGCCAGGTATATGCTTGATTGGCATTTTAGAAGATGCTATTTGATGAACATAGAGATTTTTCTGGGTTCCATCTTTTTATTCTTGAGTACAACGTTTCAGGGCTTGTTCTAGCCCCATCATCAGGTAAAACTGAACAGTAACTGTTCAAGTAATTATATACATAACTAGGATTGCCTTCTGGGCAATACTGGCGGTCTTCAGACTTCCCCCATACACCCCCTGTGGCTACCTTCACTTGTACTGTTTCTTTGGACGCCAGCTGGAGCGTCCATTTTAACTCTCGGAGTTACGGGTGTTTGAAGAGTATTTAAGGGCTAGAAAGCGTTCAAAACCCAGGCAGAACACGTTTTTGACACGAGAGCGGATCGGTGAAATGCAGCCGGGGTCGCGGGGTCATGTAGCTTTTAAATAGTTCTGGAGAAGATGTAGTTCTCTCTTTAACAGGCCGTAGCTCCGCTGTCCTTGGGTGTTGGTCCAAACGATGAGTGTTCTGGAATTGCCACGATCCTAGCTATCTGACGCATAGACGTATGTGCATATACTGCACTTGTGAAACAACCATAGATTTATGTGTGTATATAGTGCATTTCTTAAACACCCATTCAAAAATTTGAAATAAAACTCATTTCTGACTCTGTACTTGCAATGTTTATTAATGCAAACTTTTTCTCGACACTGTATGGCTTGGATAATGCCGATGTAATGTAAAGGTCAATTCAAGGGCAAGTATTTCTTTGGGCATTGAATGACCTTTCAGCAAAGATTTGACAGCTCCTTGTCATTGTCAATTATATCTGTCGGTGAAATTCACATTGTCTCCCATATCTGCACGTGGACCACGCTTTGCAGTGGTAGTCACTTTATAGGACGCATATACTATAAGAGAGATTACTGGTAAATGTTGCAGACTTTGTTGTGGTCAAAAAGTCAAGTGTATTCTTCTCACAGTGAGGCTGGTAAACAAACTGCTGGAGAGGTGACATCCTGGCAATTCCAGAACACTAATTCTTTTGAATGTAGAACTAAGAACAATGGAGTTACGGCCTCTTAAAGAGGGAACTATTTCTGTGGGCACTGGAAAACCAGGACGTGGGCAGTGTTGCTAGATTTTACGACACTTCCTCCAGCTATCTCACAACTGTCACAACTGACAAAATGCGAAATCCTAATGTCCCGCCCTGTTTGTGGCGTAATTGTGGCGTAACTATTGACTTTTACATAATAACAATGTGAAGCAAAAATGTTCCACATTTCATTATCTACAGTTTGGTACCTTCAAAAAGGAAATCCATTGTGTTTCGCAGAGCTGTGAACCCTATAAAAATGCGTTTTGCCAAAAATTGACCAACTTCCAAGGGCAATAACTCCGACACTATTCAAGATATCGACATGCCTTGAGCAAACTAAGTAGTCCGGAGTGTGGGCTTTCAAACGATATATAGAACACTATTGTACTATTTGCCGTTCAGGAGCAGAAGATTGTTAAACACAGGCACCGTCCAAAAAGTGCGGAAATGTGCAAAATCGCGAAGGTCGTGTTTGTCTCGTAATGGTGACGTAATTATTGATTTTTACATAACCATTATGTGAAGCAAAAATGTTTCCGATTCAATTACCTACAGGTGGGTACTTAGTAAAGTTGAATCCATTCATTTTCCGCAGAGTTGTGACCTTTTTCTTAACCCTATGAAATTGCATCTTAGAAAATTCACTGACTTCCAAGGGCGATAACTCCAAAACAGTTCAAGATATCGACATGCCTTGAGCAAACTAAGTAGTCCAGAGTATGGGCTTTCCAACGGCGTATCGAACATGATTGTACTATATGCCGTTCTGGAGAAGAAGATTTTTAAAGACAGGCACCGTCAAAACACGGTAATCGGCAAAAAATTCAGTTTTTCCAAAATTGCGGTAAAAATCTATCACGGCCAACTTCCGCTATGGGTTGAGTCGCTGGGGAATGATGTTGTCTACATTGAGTGAAAATTTGGTCCATTTATCTCTTATAGTTTTTGAGTTATTCAAGTGTAAAGATTTCGACATTTTGGGTTGTCTGCCCTTACCGGAAGCCGGAAGTCAGGATTTTTTCAACTATGTATCAATTTCAGCATACAGGCTATCATCCCTGAAAGTTTCTTGAAAATCGACCCTGCGGTTAGGTCAGGAGAGCTGTCACAAAAAACGTACAAATAATAATAATAAGGAAGAAGAAGAAGAATAATCCGGTTAAAAACAGTAGGTCTTCCAGACTTTCGTCTGAAGACCTCATTAACTATCAAATAACTATGCCAGGTATACTTATAACAGATATGGTTCTACTGGACAACCAGTGGCAAATGTTACAGTGGAAGTGTCGCATATAGGGGTGAAACGGTACGCTCTTACCACAGTATGGTACATATTACGGTACAAGGCCTTCGGTTCGGTCCGTTTTGGTTCGGTATATGAGAACTTACTTCGGGAATTAGCGTCTGTCCAGCAAAGAATTTTGATTTCTAGACATTACAAACAAAGTATAAAAAGGTTAATAAAATGACGGTATGAAAACTAAAAATACTGCTTTTTTTACTGCATTACGGGTTATCAAACCGAAGGCAAAATACCGCGGTTCTACTAATACCGTGGTATACTGTTTCACCCCTAGTTGCATATATGCGATTTACTTCTTGCTCCTTTAGGAACTCCCTTGTTCTGTTGCAGTGAGTGAGTAAATCCTGTTTGACACCACCGTCAGTAGTATTCCAGTTGTATTATCATGTCCAGTAATCAAGTCATTTAAACTGTGAAAACATGACAACTGCAGCAACTTTCCCATTGTCAATGATGTATTATAAGTTTAACCATGACTAACACCTGCCAAGTAACATATCCTTGTCCTTTGCAGCTTGGTGGCTACCAATGCCATGAGGTTCAGACTGGCAGCAGGTAAGAAGACACAGTTACTGGAGTTTGGTCTGCGAAGAGCCCAGGGACCAGATGGTGGCTTGTCTGCTTCACGGTATTGTTATCTGGGAGGTAGGTATCTTTCTTGTAAACAGATGAAGTCAGCAGGCTTTGATCAGACAAGTAATCTGATGGCTGTAAATATATTGACAGGGTTTGATGGGACAAGTACAGTGGAATCTGCCTGGGACTGACTCATTTGTCAAGATTATAAAGCAGTGCAGATTAGACAACTTTTGTCGTTACCATGTTGACTTCCATGATGAGTTACCTCCCTTTGTTAAGGACACCCAAGAACTTGAATCGTTCTTTTTGGTTTTTTTATAAATACTCAATATATTATTTATACTTTTATTGGAAAAAGTCTGTTAACATGAATTGCTTCTGCCTCTGTAAATTTCCACCTAATACAGTGAAACCATTGTGAACAGAAGTAACTGAGATGTTTATTCAACAGAAAGTTAGTTTAGTCAGCTTTGTCCAGATCACAAAGCATTGTTCTCATAACAAGTTGATCGCCGGGACTGTTATTTTAGTCTGTAATCCGTAATTGAGAGAGTCCCAATTATAAAGCAAGCTTAAATGATAAATTAAGAATAAATTTGCTGAGACTCAGAGAGTAGTCCGGATTACTGAGAAAACCTGATTACACAGACTCCGGATTTAACAGATTCCTCTGTAATGTGATGGCCATGCATATGTTGACAGGATTTGGTGGGACAAGTAATGTGATGTCAATATGCTGAAAGGGTTTAATGGGACAACTAATGTGATGGCCATATGTTGGCAAAGTTTGATGGGACAAGTAATGTGATGGCCATGCATATGCTGAAAGGGTTTGATGTGACAAGTAATGTGATGGAATATGTTGTCAAGGTTTGATGGGACAAGTAAGGTGATGGCCATGTGTTGTCAAGGTTTGGTGGGACAAGTAATGTGATGGAATATGTTGTCAAGGTTTGATGGGACAAGTAATGTGATGGCGATATGTTGACAGGGTTTGGCCGGACAAGTAATGTGATGGAATGTGTTGACAGGGTTTGGTGGGACAAGTAATGTGATGGACATGTTGACAGGGTTTGGTGGGACAAGTACTGTGATGGACATGTTGACAGGGTTTGGTGGGACACGTAATCTCATGGAATATGGTGACAGGGTTTGGTGGGACAAGTAATGTGATGGAATATGTTGACAGGGTTTGATGGGACAAGTAATGTGATGGAATATGTTGACAGGGTTTGATGGGACAAGTAATGTGATGGGCATGCTTATGTTGACAGGGTTTGATGTGACAAGTAATGTGATGGCCATATATTGACAGGGTTTGATGGGACAAATAATGTCATGGCTGTACATATGTTGACAGTGTTTGATGGGACAAATAATGTGGTGGCCATATGTTGACAGTGTTTGATGGGACAAGTAATGTGATGGAATATGTTGACAGGGTTTGGTGGGACAAATAATGTGGTGGCCATATGTTGACAGGGTTTGGTGGGACAAGTACTGTGATGGGTGTACATATGTTGACAGGGTTTGATGGGACAAGTAATGTGATGGCCATATCTTGACAGGGTTTGGTGGGACAAGTACTGTGATGGGTGTACATATGTTGACAGGGTTTGATGGGACAAGTAATGTGATGGGTGTACATATGTTGACAGGGTTTGATGGGAAAAGTAGTGTGTTGGCTGTACATATGTTGACCGGGTTTGATGGGACAAGTAATGTGATGGACATTTTTGACAGTGTTTGATGGGACAAGTAATGTGATGGCCATATCTTGTGGGGTGTGATGGCTGTGATGGGGTGTACATATGTTGACAGGGTTAGGTGGGACAATGTTAAATGGTAGTGTCATATATTTGGCCGAACATATGGACAGGGGTTTGATGGACAAACTAATGTGGACAGGTTGACAGGGTTTGATGGGACAACACCATGTGGTGGCCATACAGGTTGACAGGGTTTGATGGGACAAATAATGTGGACAAGCAATGTGGATGGACATGTTGACAGGGTTTGGTCGGACAGGGACAATGGATGGCCATATGTTACACATGGGTTTGAGGGTTTGATGGACAAGCATGGACACACATGGACACAGGGACATGGGACAAGGAACACACGGACACATATGGACAGGGGTGGACACACAATGATGGACACACACAGACAATGGACACAAGGACACACACATGGACACATGGACACAATGGACAGACACAGGACACAGGACACACAAACATGGACACATGGACACATGGACAAACATGGACACATGGACACATGGAACAATGTGATGCACATGACACACACATGGACACAAACAACGGACAAACAAATGGATGGGACAGACAATGGACATGGACGGAACACATGGACATGTGTTGACATGGATGGACAAGTAATGTGATGGATGGACAGGACACACAATGTGATGGATGACACAACGGATGGACACATGGACACATGGACACAAACACACACACACATGGACAAACACACATGGACACAGGATGGACAGGACACATGGATGAGGTACAGACATGGATGGAACAAATGACACAAGGATGGAATGGAACAATGGACATGGAATGACAACATGGATGGACACAGATGTGGATGTACACAGGACATGGACAACAGGACATGAATGGATACAAATGGAAGAAACACACAATGGATGGATGTACATGGTTGAATGGACAAGGGATGGACAAACATGGAACAACATGGATGGATACACATGTGAAATGGATGTGACAAACATGGAACATGAGAGGGAGGATGGAACAAACAATGGATGAAACAACGTGATGGATGGAACAAGGACATGGATGGATGGAACACATGGATATGTTGACAGACAGGACAAGGAACAAACATGGACAAGGAATGGACATGGATGGATGGAACATGAAAGGATGTGGAGGATGGACAAATATGGACATGGATGGACAAAGGATGGGGAACAAGAATGTGATGGAAATACAGGATGGAGAGGATGTAAGAAATGGATGGAACAAACAATGTGATGTAAGGATAAAATATGGATGGGACAATGGATGGGACATAACATGGATGGAACAAACAACATAGATGGACATGTATGGATGGATATGGATGGAACAAACATGGATGGACAGGTATATGGGGACATGGATGGGATGGACAATAATATGATGGATAGAAGTGGATGGATGGAAATGAAACAATGGAAGGACATGGAAGAGAGGATGGAAGGAACAATGGATGGATGTGGACATGGGAATGGATGGAGGTCGGAGGATGGATGGAATGGATGGATGATGGTTGATGGATGGAATGGATGGATGGATGGAATGGATGGTGGATGTAGGGGAATGGATGGAATGGAAGGAATGGATGGATGTATATGGAATGGATTTGATGGATCAATAATGGACATGGACACAGAATGGATGGACAGATATGGATGTACACATGATATGGACACATGACACACACATGACACACACACAGGACACACACATGGACACACATGGACATGGATGGACACACACACACAGACACACACATGGACACACACACACACACATGGACACACACACACACACACATGGACACACACATGGACAGACATGGAGACACACATGGACACACACACACACATGGACATGACACACATGGACATGGACACATGGACACAGACACATGGACACATGGATGGACACACACACACACACACACACACATGGACACAGGACACATGGAATGGGACACAGGACACACACACACACACACAGGACAGGAATGGACACAGGACACATGGACATGGATGGACACACATGGACATGGACACACACACACACATGACACACACACATGGACACACACACACATGGACACACACACACACACACACACACACACACATGGACACACACACATGGACACACACAGAGGACACACATGGACACACACACACACATGGACACACATGGACACATGGACACATGGATGGACACATGGACACACATGGACACACACACACACACACACACATGGACATGGACACACACATGGACACACACACACACACACACACACACACACACACACACACACACACATGGACACACACACACACACACACATGGACACACACATGGACACAGGACATGGACACACACACACATGGACATGGACACAGGACATGGACACACACACATGGACACACAGGACACATGGACACAGAACACACAGGACATGGACACATGGACACACACACACACACACACATGGACACACATGGACAAACATGGATGGACATGGACACACACACACACACACACACACACACAGGAGGACACATGGACACACACATGGACACACACACACACACACACATGACAATGGACACACACATGACACATGGACACACATGGACACATGGACACACACACATGGACACACACACACACACACACACATGACACACATGGACACACACAGGACACAATGACACACACATGGACACACATGGACACAGGATGGACACACAGACACACACAGGACACATGGACACATGGACACACACATGGACAACACACATGGACACACACACAGAATGGACACACACACACATGGACATGGACACATGGACACAGGATGGACACAAACACACGGACACATGGACACACAATGGATGAATGGACACACACATGGACACAATGGACACACATGGACACAAATGGACATGGATGACACATGGACACAAATGGATGGAACATGGATGGAACAATGGAACACAATGGACATGGACAAAGATGGACAATGGATGGACACAATGGACATGGATGGAACAATGGATGGAATGGACAGGATGGAAGGAATGACACACAAACAATGGACACATGGAACAATGGATGGACACACACAGGATGGACAATGGAAATGGATGGAATGGATGGACACATGGAGGAAGGAAGGGAATGGATGGGAAATGGAAATATGACAAGGATGGATGGACATGGAAACATGGAATGGATGGAACAAGGATGGACACAAATGGAACAGATGGATAAACATGGATGGAAATGGATGGATGAATGGATGGAATGGATGGAACAAACAATGGACATGACACAGGAATGGATGGAACAAACAATGGATGGAATGTAGAATGGATGGGAATATGGAATGGATGGAATGGATGGATGAAAATGGAATGGATGGAATGGATGGATGGAATGGAAGATATAAACAATGGATGGACATGGAAAGGGTTTGGATGATGGAATGGATAAATGGAATGGATGGGAAAAAGATAGGATGGAATGGAACAAAATGGAAGGATGGAAGATGGATGGAAAGGAATGATGGAAGAAATGGATGGATGGATGGAATGGAAGAATGGAAAGGATGGAAAAATGGATGGAATGGAAATGGATAATGGAATGAATGGAAGGAAATGGATGGAAAAATATGATGGAATGAAAGAAGAATGGATGGAATGGAAACAATGGATGGAAGGAAGGATGGGAATGGATGAAGGAAGGGAATGGAATGGATGGAATGGAAATAATGGATGGATGGAAAATGAATGGAATGGAAAGAATGGATGGAATGGAATGGAGATGGAATGGATGGATGGTACATGGAAGAAAGGGATGGATGGAAGAATGAATGGATGGATGGAAACAGATGGATGGAAAGGATGGATGGAATGGATAATGGATGGATGAAAGGAAGGAGGAAGGAATGTGAGGAATGGAAGAATGGATGGATGGGAATAATGGATGGAATATGGATGGATGGATGGAAATGGAATGGATGGATGGAATGGATGGATGGACAGGATATGGGACAAGTAATGTGTTGATGTACATATGTTGACAGGGTTTGATGGGACAAACAATGTGATTTACATGTGTTGACAGGGTTTGATGGTACAGATTATGTGATGGGTGTACATATGTTGACAGGGTTTGATGGGACAAGTACTGTGGTGGCTGTACATATGTTGACAGGGTTTGATGGGACAAGTAATGTGATGGCATATGTTGACAGGGTTTGATGGGACAAGTAATGTGATGGCTGTACATATGTTGACAGGGTTTGATGGGACAAGTAATGTGATGATGTGTTGACATTTGTTGACAGGGTTTGATGGAACAAACAATGTGATGTACATATGTTGACAGGGTTTGATGGGACAAATAATGTGATGTACATATGTTGACAGGGTTTGATGGGACAAATAATGTGATGGACATATGTTGACAGGGTTTGATGGGACAAGTAATGTGATGGCCATATGTTGAGAGGGTTTGATGGGACAAGTAATGTGATGTACATATGTTGACAGGGTTTGATGGGACAAGTAATGTGATGGACATTTGTTGACAGGGTTTGATGGGACAAGTAATGTGATGGAATATGTTGACAGGGTTTGATGGGACAAGTAATGTGATGTACATATGTTGACAGGGTTTGATGGGACAAGTAATGTGATGGCCATATGTTGACAGGGTTTGATGGGACAAGTAATGTGATGGCTGTACATATGTTGACAGGGTTTGATGGGACAAGTAATGTGATGGACATTTGTTGACAGGGTTTGATGGGACAAGTTATGTGATGTACATATGTTGACAGGGTTTGATGGGACAAGTTATGTGATGTACATATGTTGACAGGGTTTGATGGGACAAGTAGTGTGGTGGGTGTACATATGTTGACAGGGTTTGATGGGACAAGTTAATGTGATGTACATATGTTGACAGGGTTTGATGGGACAAGTAATGTGATGTACATTTGTTGACAGGGTTTGATGGGACAAGTAATGTGATGTACATATGTTGACAGGGTTTGATGGAACAAACAATGTGATGTACATGTGTTGAGAGGGTTTGATGGGACAAGTAATGTGATGTACATATGTTGAGAGGGTTTGATGGAACAAACAATGTGATGTACATGTGTTGAGAGGGTTTGATGGGACAAATAATGTGATGTACATATGTTGACAGGGTTTGATGGGACAAATAATGTGATGTACATATGTTGACAGGGTTTGATGGGACAAACAATGTAGTGTGGTGGGTGGCCATATGTTGACAGGGTTTGATGGGACAAGTTATGTGATGTACATATGTTGACAGGGTTTGATGGGACAAGTAATTTGATGGACATTTGTTGACAGGGTTTGATGGGACAAGTAATGTGATGGACATTTGTTGACAGGGTTTGATGGGACAAGTAATGTGTTGGCTGTACATATGTTGACAGGGTTTGATGGGACAAGTTATGTGATGTACATATGTTGACAGGGTTTGATGGGACAAGTAATGTGATGGACATTTGTTGACAGGGTTTGATTGGACAAGTAATGTGATGGACATTTGTTGACAGGGTTTGATGGGACAAGTAATGTGTTGGCTGTACATATGTTGACAGGGTTTGATGGGACAAGTAATGTGATGGAATATGTTGACAGGGTTTGATGGGACAAGTAATGTGATGTACATATGTTGACAGGGTTTGATGGGACAAGTAATGTGTTGGCTGGGAAGATGTTTGGGATCCCTGTGCGAGGCACTCATGCTCACGCCTTCATTACTTCATTCCACTGCATGGAGGAGCTGAAGATCAGGGTATGTAGAACAATGTAATAGCCATCTCGTTTAAATCAGATCTCCATTATGCTACTCCTAAACAGATATCTGAGAACATAATCAGATCATTTCAATCATCTTAGAACAACCTTTCATCCTACCAATCAATTGCTTACCAGACTGAAAGTTTTTAGCATGACAGCTTGAAGAGCTCAACAATCAGGATATTGAAGATATTGCATGCACCAGTTATGAAATGTACTTAGTGTGGGGGTGTTCCTTACACCTTCGACACTAAGACACAATGACAAAGTTGGTGTCAACACTTGTGTTTTATTCAAGATGGCAAACTCATCCATACATGACGTGGGGTGGTGGGGTAGCCTAGTGGTTAAAGCGTTTGCTCGTCACGCCGAAGACCCTGGTTCGATTCCCCACATGGGCTCGATGTGTGAAGCCCATTTCTGGTGTCCCCCGCCATGATATTGCTGGAATATTGCTAAAAGCGGCATAAGATTCAATCACTCACCCATACATGATCTCATCATCTTGGTGCAGATGACGTGTAGATGACGTAATCAGAAAAACGATGTATAATAGGGTTGGTGTTACAACTACTTATAGCAAATACACTACACTCTTCCCCCTTAAATGTCTTCCTCTCGTTATTACTAGAAAGTTCTAAGCCTTAAAAATAATTAAATAATTATCCTGTTATCAATATGATAAATGACGATATAGTGTTCATATGACTGACTCCGTGAGAATATATTAACATTAATATAACACAGTTATTTAACTGGTAACTTTTACTCATATCCCTGCAACTTCAGAGTCTATCATAAAGTAAGGGTGAAACTTCCCACTTTTATTTCTTAACTGAAATCCTTACTGGGGCTTTAACACAACGATTTAGAGTTCATTTCACAGATCAAGCCTCTCCACTGGCTTTCTCAGGCGGGCAGGATATCGCCTGGTCACATCATCACTGTTAGGCTGACTGCTCTCTGAGTTGATTTTTGGATTTGGCGTCATCACCGGACCTGGGCTCGGTCTGGCCGTCTGTGTAGGTAGTCTCACCAACTCCCTCAGCTGCTGATCTGTAATGTCACATCTGGGTGGTGAGGTAGATACAGGAATCTCAGCACTCCTGTAACTCTGCATCTGATCAACGTGGGTGATTTGAGATGACGCACGTATCTGCACCTTGTATCGCAGGGAGCTGAGGCATTTTACGACTCTACCTTGGATCCACTTCTCATCTCTCCCCATCCGATTTCTGATAAGACAGGTTTTGCTGATCTGGAACTCACGTACTGCACTGCCCTCTCTGTCATGCTGGATGATAAGGGGGTTTCAGACTGCTTGACTCCATTCTTCTGTAAGAATTCTTTAAATTCTTTGAATGTGAATTGAGGTCCATCGTCTGATACCACTTCGGCTGGCAAACCATATGCTGAAAACAGCCCCCTCAATTCTATGGTTCTACTTGCTGTCGTTGGTGACATCAATACCACTTCAATCCATTTGGTCCAGCTGTCTATCACCACCTAGAACTTTGGTGATCTGAACTCCCCAAAATCAATATGGATCCTCTCCCAGGCTCTTTTGGGATACACCCATGGGTGTAATGGTGCAACCGGCAGCTCTTTTTGTGTCATCTGACACACTTCACAGTGTCTTGCTGTTTGCTCTATTTCCTGATCTAGTCCCGGAAACCAGAAATAGCTCCTTGCCATACTTTTCGTCCTGACAACCCCACTGTGTTCTGCATGAAGTTCCTCTAATACTTCTTGCTGATACTTGGGTAGTATGACCACGCGCATACCCCACAGTAAGCAACCTTGATCCACCGACAGCTCCAGTCGTCTAATAAAGAAGGGTCTCAGCTGATCAACTACATGATTTGGCCATCCGGATTGCGTGTACTATATTACTCTTGAAAGAAAGACATCATTCCTAGTTGCTTCGGCAATCTGCTCTGCTGAGGTGTGTAGATTGTCTAGGTAGTTAATGTGATTACTCTGTTCTTCGGTGCCAGCATCAACGACTCCCACGGCCCTCTTGACAAGCAGTCGGTGTTGCTGTGCTCAGACGACTAGCAGTATCTGATCTCATGCTTGTATGCCATGAGGATAAGTGCCCATCGTTGAAGTCTAGCTGCGGCTAGTGTTGGAACTCCCGAAGATTGTAGTCAGCGGCCTATGATCTGTAATCAGGATGAATCTTCTGCCATATAGGTACTTGTGAAACTTCTTTACCCCAAAGATGATGGACAATACTTCTTTGTTTAGCTGTGCATAGTTAGTCTCTGAGGCTGTTAATGTCCGGGATGCATATGCCACTGTCCGATCACTTCCGTCCTGCACAATGTGTGATATAACATATTTCACACACCAACGTGAGCGGGCGATTAGTGTCATAGTGGACCAAGACGCTGTTGCTTGATAGCTGTGCTTTACACTGCGTGAAGGCATCTTCCTGTTCCTTTTTCCATTTTCATGCAACATTTCCCTTTAGCAAACTGTACAACAGGGCTAGTAGCATTGACATATTTCTTTCCATAGTAGTTCACCATGCCGATTAATGAGTTCCATCAGCTTCTTCGGTCTTGGAGCTTTTGTGATAGCTGCGACATGTCATCTAGAGGATGAATTCCTTCTGCATCAATGCAATGTCCTAGGTATTCTATTGACCTTGTCATGAACTTGCTTTTTTCCAACTTGAGCTTAATACCATTCTGTGCCAGTCTTCCTAGGACTTTATCCACCAATATGAGCTGTTGAACTTTGTTCTCTGTTCCCATGAGGATGTCATCAAGTAGGACTTCAATTCCATCTATTCCGTTGAGATTCTGTTCCATCACACACTGAAACATTGCAGTGCTGTAGAAACTCCAAATGTCAATCTCTGATACTCATAGAGGCCTTTATGAGTATTAATCACCAACAATTCAAATCTTCAAATCTTCACCTTGCTGAAGACTTTAGCTCCAGGGACCCGTTTCACAAAGCTCTCGTAAGCCTAAGAACTCGTAACATTTCTCATAGCATTCGTACCTCCTATACTGTAACATAGGAGGTGCGATTGCTACAAGAAATGTTACGAGATCTTAGGCTTATGAGAGCTTTGTGAAACGGCTCCCTGATAGTTTGGAGAAGAGATCCTCAGCTGTTGGCATTGGGTAAACTTTCTCTCCAAGGCATGAGTTGATGGTCACTTTATAGTCTCCACAGATTCGTATGGACTAGCACAATCTGATCTTTCAATCTTCTTCAAAATTTCATCTGTCTCCAGCATATCTAACTGATTCTCCATCGCTCCTTTAATAGCATATGGTAGCAGTCTTGCTTTACAAAACTTGGGTACTGATTCAGGCTTTACCCCAATATCCGCTGTAAAGTTCTTAATAGTCCCATTTCCCTCAAACACTGTTTGGTAACTTTCAAGTATATCTGTCACAGAGATGCCAACCGTTACGCTTTGGGCGTAATTATTACGATTTTGACCATTAAATTACACCATTGCACTTAATCTGCGAAATTTACGCTTTTCTACTCGTTTTGCGAAAATCAATAATGTGGATAAAATTTCACAGTGAATTATTTTCGAAACGCACTAGTGCAGGGGTTCAGAAATGGCCTTACACCGATAGGAATCACTTACTCTTAGCATTGCGTCACATGACCCCACATGTTTTCACTCTCTCCTTCTTCGCCCTAGAGGACGGTTGTGAGAGCGCCTGGGTCCCCTATACGGCGTTATATCCTTTTATATTTAGGCCTTTACTACTAAATTAGCTGTATACGGCATTTAGTATTGATATACCAGCAATATGGTTTGAAATTTTTGTCTAAATTATCTGTTTATTCACGTTGTTGACATGATTTTTCATCTTGTTTACAATTGATGAAAACCTGCATTCGTTGCAGATACCGGTTGTCGGTTGCTGATCCGCATTTATTATGTCCTAATTGTACTTCTACATGTTCTTCCAGCTTTCACTGTAAACTTTGTCAGCATTTATCTGAATTTGAATTTAATAATTATTTATATTTCATTCTTAGACGTGCCAAGGACAGGTCTAGACGGCTTTTACAAGTCATGTCTAAACCGAGTGATTGTGCTGATAACCGTTTATTGCTGTCTACTGACATTCACCATTCCAGTGATTTACCGATGGCTTCTACGGAGCATGTCGCTGAGACTGATGGCAGCTCCGGCTCCAGGAAGAGGTTGTCTACATCAACTATAACCTCGTCAAAGTCTAAGAAGACTAGGGCATCGTCTTCTCAGAAGAAGAAGTTGTCTGCAGACAAGACTCCGGCGATGTCTTCCCATGGGGCAGCGCATAAGACGAGGTCCTTCGCTGCAGAGATCATACTGGCAGACGAAGTAGACGTATATGAGGAGCCACCCATCCTCATTCCTGATGTAGCAGTGAGGAAGAAGACCAGTTTCAACCCGGGTGTCTTCATGCAGCAGTTTACGCAGCAGATGTTGGACCTGATGGAACGGAGGTTCGCGCAGGAGAAAGCTGTGACGAAGGCCCCATCTACAACGAACCTGCATGAAGGACAATCAGCCTGCAGATCGCATCCCGCTGAAGATAGTAGCCTGCGTGAAGGAGGAAACCTACGTGAAGGATCACACACTCAACGATGTTCCACGACATCTTCACGAGAGCCTGCCAGTTTGGACATTGATGAATCTGCAATAGATATTCCAGAGGAGCCTTCGCGCAGGAGCAGTACCAGACGTTCACCGGAGCATCGCAGATCATCCTCCTCAGATACGGACAGCCATCAGGAGGTTGCGCTCAGGCACCCTACATACCGTAGAAGAGAATCTACACCTTCACGAAGGCACAGAGATACGTCTCAAGACTCCAGGGAGGATCCTTATCTGAATCAGTCGCCTGCGCGCAGGTCTCTGTGCAGGTCTCCACGCAGGTCTCCACGCAGGTCTCCACGCAAGTCTCCACGCAGATCTCCACGCAGATCTCCATGCAGGAAGGAGACACAATGGCAACCATCTCC